ACATTCTGCACTGAGGCCATCTGCAGCTTGGCTATTTTTTTTTTAGTTGGGAGACTTTTGATAACTGCTTCTATTTCCATAGGGGTTATAGGTCTATTTAAATTGCTTATCTGTTCTTGATTTGATTTTGGCAAGTGATAGCTATCCAGGAAGTCATCCATTTCCTTTAAATTTTCACATTTTGTGGAGTACAGGTTTTCAAAGTATGACCTGATGATTCTCTGAATTTCCTCAGAGTCCGTTTTTATGTCCCCCTTTTCATTTCTGATTTTGTTAATTTGCAAGTTCACACTCTGCTGTTTGGTAAGTTTGGACAAAGGTTTGTCTATTTTCTTGATTTTCTCAAAGAACCAACTCTTCTTTGCATTGATTCTTTGTATTGTTTTCCTGGTTTCTACTTTATTGATTTCAGCCTTCAGTTTGATTATTTCCTGGAGTCTACTCCTCGTGGGGGAGTTTGCTTCTTTGTGTTCTAGAGCTTTCAGCTCTGCTGTTAATTCTCTAGTATAACTATTCTCCAGTTTCTCTATGTGGGCACTTAGTGCTGCTTTCAAAGTGTCCCATAGGTTTGGGTATGTTGTGTCTTCATTCTCATTGAATTCTAGGAAGTCTTTAATTTCTTTTTTTATTTCTTCTTTGACCCAGGAATGGTGCAATTGTGCGTTATTCAATTTCCATGAGTTTGTAGGGTTTCTGCAATTTGTGTTGTTGTTGAATTCTAATTTTAATGCATGGTGGTCTGATAAGATGCATGGAATTATTCTAAATTTTTTTGTTGCTGCTGAGGTTTGATATGTTGCCAAGTATGTGGTCGATTTTTGAGAAGGTTCCGTGTGGCACTGAGAAGAAGGTATATTCTTTTTTATGTGGATGAAATATTCTATAGATGTCTCTTAATCCCAATTGGGTCATTACTTCTATTAGACCCTTTGCTTCTTTGTTGAGTTTCTGTCTGGTACTCCTGTCTAGTGGTGATTGTGGGGTGTTGAAGTCTCCCACTATAAGTGTGTGGGGCTTTATACGTGATTTAGTTTTTAGTAATGTTTCTTTTACGAATGCGGATGCCTTTTTATTTGGGGCATAGATGTTCACAATCGAGACTTCATCTTGGTGGATTTTTCCTGTGATGAATATGAAATGACCTCCTTCATCTCTTTTGATTGATTTTATTTTAAAGTCTAATTTGTTAGATATTAGGATTGCTACCCCTGCTTATTTTTTGGGTCCATTTGATGGGAAAATCTTTTCCCAACCTTTAACTCTCAGGTAATGTCTGTCTTTGAGACTGAGGTGTGTTTCTTGTATGCAGCAGAAGGATGGGTTCTGTCTTCGAATCCATTCTGTTAGCCTGTGTCTTTTTATGGGTGAGTTAAGGATATTAAGGTTGAGGGATATTAATGACCATTGATTCATCATTCTTCTTTGATTTGGAATGGTTGGTGGTGGTGGAATTCCACCCCCTTGTTGTTTTAGCTGTTGGTAAAGCGGGATTATCTATTGCCTATGTTTTTCTCGTTGTAGTTAACTTTCTTGGGTTGGAGTTTCTGTTCCAGAACTTTCTGTATGGCTGGGTTTGTGGATATGTATTGCTTGAATCTAGTTTTGTCATGTAATATCTTGTTTTCTCCATCTATAGTGATTGAGAGGTTTGCCGGGTATAGTAGTCTGGGTTGATCTCTTAGTGTTGGTAGAATATCTATCCAGGACCTTCTGGCTTTCAGAGTTTCCATGGAGAAGTCAGGTGTAATTCTGATAGGTTTGCCTTTATATGTTACTTGGTCTTTTTCCTTAGCTGCTCTAAATATTCTTTCTTAATTCTGTATATATCGGGTCTTGATTATTATGTGGTGAGGGGACTTTTTTGTGGTCCACTCTATTTGGTGTTCTGTAAGCTTCTTGTACCTTCATTGGCATGTCTTTCTTAAGGTTGGGAAAGTTTTCTTTTATGATTTTGTTGAATATGTTTTCTGCCCCTTTTGAGGTGGTTTTCTTCACCTTCTTCTATACCTATTATTCTTAGGTTTGGTTTTTTCATGGTGTCCCATATTTCCTGGATGTTTTGTGTTAAGTATTTATTGGACTTAAGATTTTCTTTGGTCGATGAATCCATTTCTCCTAGTCTCTTCAACACCTGAGAGTCTCTCTTCCATCTCTTTGTATTCTGTTGGTAATGTTTGTATCTGTAGTACCTGACTGTTTGCCCAGCTTTTCTATTTCCAGCCTTTCTTCAGATTGTGTTTTTTTATTGTCTCTATTTCAGTTTTCAACCCTTGCACTGTTTGAATTGTTTGTTGCAATTTTCGGTTTATCTTTTTGTACATTTGTTGCATTTTATGAATTTTTTGGTTTGCTTTTTCTTCCATTTCTTGCAATTTTGGGGGGTTGCTTTCTCTTCCATTTCTTGCCTTTTTTGGTTTGTTTTTACTTCCATTTCTTGCATTTTTTGCTTTGTTTTTTCATCCATTTCTTTGAGGGATTTTCCTATATTCTCTTTTAGGGCCTCTATCATTTTCATGAAGTTGTTTTTAAGGTGTGTGGAGTCTCTAGAATCTGGTGGTGTCATATTTGTTTTTCTGTTGCTGAATGTGTTTTTGTTTTGTCTCTTTCCCATCTCTTCTTCTAGTGGGTGCATAAAGAGTCCCTTACTAGTCTTGTGCTTAGGGGACCAAAGTTCCCTTTCTGTGGGTGCAGGAAAGTTCAATAATCTGGTAGTTCTTTTATTCCTCGTCCTAGTTCTGGTCCCATGGGTGGAGAAGAAGACCAGGAATCTGAGGTGCTTAGCCTCCCACCTGGTCCCCTGGTCCCTTTGCTGGAAGAGAAGACTTGGGATCTGGGGTGCTATTGCTAGGATGGGAAGCTCTGTGGCTGTCCCCAGTCGCTGGAAGGCACGCAGGGATGCTGGGCCTTGTTTACCTGGATTTGCTGGTTTCCTGGTCTCATTGCTGGAAGAGAAGACCTGGAATCTGGGGTTCTTGGCTCCTGCTGGGATGGAAAGCTCTGTGCAGTTCCCAGGCAATCCCCAGGCACTGGAATGCAGGCCCGGATGCAGGGCCTGTTTTTCCTGGTCCTGCTGGACCAGCTGGTACCTTGGTCTCCTTGGTGGTAGAGAAGACCTGGGATCTGGCGTGTTTGGCTCCCACCAGGATGGGAAGCTCTGTGTCCTTCCCCAGTCACTGGAAGGCAATCTGGGATGCGGGGCCTTCTTTACCTGGATCTGCTGGTGCAAGCTTGTTTCTAACTTAAATAAATAAAAAGGAAGAAAAAAAAGAAAATAAATCAGTAAAATAAAAAGAGCACTTATTGATCCTCCATGGCACCCAGGTTCAATTCCCAGCACTCCCATGACTGCTCACAACATTCTCTAACTCTCTGAGTTCCAGAGATCCAATACTCTCTTCTGAACTCTGGTGTCACTGTGTACATGTGGTGCACAAACACACATACAGACAAGCACACAGAAAAATATAAAAATAAATAGTTCCAAATTGTTTTTAGAATATTGGCCCTATTTGTATGGAACCCTTTTCTTATTCTGTAATTTCTTCCATTGAGCACAATATCTTTTTCTATTCTAGTGCCACACCCCCTAGAGAATTGAATCTTTACCTCATGTGGACTAATTCTATTCACTTTTTCCTAGAGTTGATAGAACTATTCTTGGCCCTTTATCTTTCTAGCCAAAATCAGAACAAGCTTGTCTGTATTGATAATGATATCAGTTTGTTGAAAATTTGAAATTGACATGAGAAAATAAACACATTTCTGTGTTGAAACTTCTAATCCATGACTATTGTGTGCTTTACCCTTCTTAGATTTCTTTTGATTGCCACACAGAAGTTTTGTAGGTTTCATCTGAAAGACCTGTACTTCTTTGTTAAGCTTATATCTTAAGTTTAAATTACTTATAACATTTCCGAACATGGTTGGCTAGTATGTAATTATTCTTGTGATTTTTTCTAATATAATTGATGTGTAGTACAAACACAATTGATTTTGAATTGCTGTTGTATTACAGGACAATTATTATTCCTATAAATTATTTCCATGTGCTATTTGATATGTTCTACACAGACAATTGTGTTGCCTGAATATAAGAATACTTTTGTTTATTAGTTTGTAATCTATATCCTTTCTTGCCTTGTTGCACTTGCTGGCACTTCTAGGATAGTACTGAAAACAGTGGTGACAATAGATTTTTTTCTTGAGGCAGGGTTTCTCTGTGTATCTCTGGCTGTCCTGGAACTTGCTTTCACAACTCAAGAGTCAGAGGCAGGAGGATCTCTGTGAGTTCAAGGCTAGCCTGGTCTACAGAGAGAGCTCCAGGACAGCCAGGCTACATAGTGAGACCAGTCACAAAGCAAAATTAAACATCAACAAAAGAACTGTATGTATGTGTTTGTGCATGTGTGAGTTCCATTGATCCAATGCTCATAAATATACATGATTTAATAATGTTCCTAATAGGAATAGAATTATTTCTCTTTTTTTCTTGTGTCATTGTATAGAAATTAAGACAAAACAATTTCTATACCATTTCATCATTTCTTGAAATATCAAAAATCATTTTATAGCATCTATAAGTGTTTTAAAAAATTTAGCTTCAAAGAATCCAATTGCTTGTACTGTTGACAAATGTATATAAGGAACTGGCTTGAACTAATATTTAACCAAGGCCAGTTGCTTTCTATTACTAATTCATTTTTGTCTACACAGCTTTGAAGGATGCTGTAGGGCTATCCCATCTGTTCTTGTGCACTCTGCAAGGGTGACTTTCATTTAAAATGAGACAGTCATAGAACGATGTGAAGCTACACCAGGTGCCACCTCCATGTATAGCAACTACAGACAATTTTAAAAAAGATTGTTGAGCATCTAGCAATGTTCAGACACTTAACAATCAGTTATATTTGTTAAGCAAATGATGCTTGTTTAATCAACTTCCTAAAACTGTGAAGATAATAACTTTAATAAGATACATTTTCTTTCTGTTTGAACCCTAGTCTTTTGGGCCAGTGGGATTTATGAAAAAGTCAATCACCATATCTAAGGATGAAGAATGGAAGAGACTTCGAACACTACTGTCTCCAGCTTTCACCAGCGGAAAACTCAAGGAGGTGATAATGGAGAGGGCATTTACTTATTGGATGAATCCAGATAGAAAATGAGCCCACCGTCCCTTTTCTAGGATTGTTCCTCAGAGTTACAATTTGTATAAGATGATTTTTTTGTCTTCATGACCAACTATAAAATCCACTGTAACATCCCACCCTTGCTTCCTGGATGGGCATGAGATGTCTTTCTGGGACCTGAGTTTTCACATTTAGCAACAGATGCTGTTCTTTGTGCTTAGATGTTCCCCATCATTGGACAGTATGGAGATACGTTGGTGAAAAACTTGAGACGAGAAGAAGAGAAAGGGAAGCCCGTCAATATGAAAGAGTAAGTGTTGGTAGAGTTGTTGGGACTTTGAGTATCTTAGTGTCCCCTCAACTCTAGTAAAAGACCATTTGCAAACCGACCACAGGTAAAGGCCCCATGTGTGAGTGTGATAGGAGTCTTCACCCCACAGATGATCCAGCAGGTGGTTCTGACTCTGTGGATCACTGCCTGGGTAGCTTGGAAACATGAGCTGCCTCAAATGCAGATGCTGATTCCCACGTCTCTTTCTCCTCAGAATCCTTGGAGCTTATAGCATGGATGTGATCACTGGCACATCATTTGGAGTGAATGTCGATTCCCTCAACAACCCAGAGGATCCCTTTGTGCAGAAGGCCAGGAAGATTTTAAAGTTTAATTTTTTTGATCCCTTTATTCTCTCCATAAGTATGTAAATTATTTCTTCTCTGTTTATATTCCTTCATTCTACACACCAGTCAAAGAAACACCATAGTTGAGATATCATTCACATGCAAAAAATTCAATTTCTTAAAATGTGCAATCCAATTTTTGTTCACCAAAGGCACATGTACCCATCACCATTGTCAACCAGGAAATGCACTTTCCATGAGAAACTACACCTTTTCATTCTCATTTCCCATTTTTCCTTACCATAAGAAATATCCATTTAGCTGTGTGTTCTTTTTTTTTTTTTTAATCATTTTTTATTTTAATTTTAAATAGCTTGTTTCACATGTCAATCCCAGTTCCCTCTCCCTCCCCTCCTCCTGCACTCCCCTTCCACCCTCCCTCCCACCCTATTGCCAAATCCCTCCACATAGGGGATGTCTAAAGTCTATCATTTCACTCTTGGTAGGGTCAAGGCACTCCCCTAAGAGTCCAGGCTGAGAGAGCATCTCTCTTTGTGCCATAGGCACATGAAGACAGATTGTATACCAGGGATAGACACTGATCCACAGCTCAGAGCCCCATAGGTTGCCCAGGCCTTCTCACTGACACTCACATTTGGGGGGTCCAGATCAGTCCCATTCTGGCCTCCCCACTGTCGGTCTGGGGTCCAAGAGCACTCCCCTGTTCAGATCAGCCGTCTCTGCTGGTTTTGCCAGCCCATTCCTTGCCAATTTGCTCAACCAGGAAATGCACTTTCCATGAGAAACTACACCTTTTCATTCTCATTTCCCATTTTTCCTTACCATAAGAAATATCCATTTAGCTGTGTGTTCTTGTAGATCTGCCTATTCTTGGCATAGCATTAGAATACAATACAAATATTTTATAGACAACTTGGAATCTGACAACTAGTTTCTTTCATTTAATGTCATATATCCAATAGAACCATTTGTTGCCACTCCCACGTTCCACAAACGAATAACATTCTGAACTGTCTGATGAGTGAACATTTGTTTTCATGTTTTCTTGGTAGGCAATTGGTGTGAAATTAGTGAATTAAAGAGGAATTCTATGTTTGACTTGTTGGGCAACTGCAATTTTTTAAAAGGAGTTTTTGTTTGTTTTGCTGTCAGTAGTTCCCAAGGGCTCTGTTTTCCCCACATCCAGTCTGAAACTTCCTTTTTTTCATCATGAATTTTTTATTACTACCACCTTAGGGTATATTTAGGAGTCAAACATTATGGGGGATTATTTAAATTTTTTAAGAATTTTATACATGAGCACTATATTTACATTATTTCCTTCCTTCTCCCCCATCTCCTTTCATATTTCCACTTCCTTCTCCTTTAACTATAATAGTGATATATGTGTGTATATATATGTATGTATATATATGCGTGCACATACACACATATATCCTGCTGAATCCATTTAGTGTTTGCTCTCTCTTGCATACATGTTTATGGCCAACTACTTGGGATTGGAGCACCTATCAGGGCCCCATCCTTGGAGAAAACTTATTCTTTCTCTAAATAGCCATTAATTTCCTGTGGCTCTTCATCTAGAGGTAAGAGCTTGTAGGACATCCCCATCCCCATTGGCATATCAACCACTGTTATCATTACACATTTCTTATCTGGACAACCATATTGTTGAGCTTTCATGCACCCAGTGTCAGAGCCTGCTCCAACGAGTCAGCTGGGTTGCCTGAGTAGGGGGCATGAGGATTGAGAAAAGGCAGATAAAGAAACAGAGACAGAAACACAGGATAGATTCTGGAGGACTGCCCAGTCGATGCCTTTCAGCACACCAGACAGCCCGAGTTTAACTTATATCCTGTTTATATACATACTAAAGGCAAAGCAGAATAAAGAACAGCATAGCCAATTAACCAGCTCCCTGCACTGTTCTTGAATTTAGGAGCAGCCAGGTTCACTATCCATCACGTGAGTCCTGCTAGCAGCAAACAGCTTCATTCCCTATCTCTATGTGCCTTTCGGCTCACCAGAAGCTTGTTAGTTAATCAGAACTTTCTGGAGGCTCTTAAGGAGACTGAAACAAGCAAGCTTGAACTCTAATATCTTGAAAGTTAGAATAGACTCCTGATGGAAACTGAGTCACTGTGGGCTCCCACAGCCCAGTTTCCCTGCCATGTCTAGAAGATGCAATATTGCAGCAGGCCTTCTCATCTTCTTGTTTTTACAATCTTTCTACACGCTTATCCATGGTTTTCCCTGAGCCTTAAGTATAGAGATTGCATTGTAGGGGTATCAGTTGATTTCGGGCAATATGTAATCACTTATTCTCTGCATTTATTTTTTCTCTGTAGTACTGTTTCCATTCCTTACCACAATATATGACTTGTTAAGGTTCTCCATTTTTCCAAGACAATCAACAAACTTTTTCAAAAAATTTATAACAACGATGAAGAAAAATCGCCTTCATTCAAACCAGAAGGTAAAATATGATGCTACTTTCATGGTGCTAAAAGTTTGGCTATGGTGTTCATGATTTGGTCATGATGGTCAGGGTTTGGTCATGATGATTAGAGTTTGGTCATGATGATCAAGGTTTGGTTATGGAGGCCACAAAAAGTCTCTATAAACCAGGAAGAAGGATACCTGAGACGACACTTAGAGTTTTGTAGTGTCTGGAGTGTGGAGTATCAGAAGACACTCACACAAAACTTGACAGTAAGTACTCGAGATAGAATTAATCAATGAGGCTGTTGGTTAAGCATTGTAGTAAGCGAACAGAGAGAACTGGAGTTCGGGACTTCCCTGAGCAAGCATGATTAGAGAAGGAGGCAGCAGCTCTTTGGCCAGGAATCTTCTCCACAGTCAAAGAAATTTAAGTTGGGTGAACAAAGACCAAAAGCTTCATTTCTTCCAGAGAACTCTCCTGTTCCCTAAGGCTTGCTGGTAGAGGCTTTAATTTTCCTTTATTTTTATTGTAAGTGTGGGTGTTTTGCCCAGCTGTATGCCTGTACACCACATGTGTACAGTGCCTGCAGAGGCCACAAGAGGGCATCAGATCCTCTGGAACTGGAGTTACAAGTGGTTGTGATTCACCTTGTGACTGGTGGGAACTGAACCCAGGACCTCTGCAAGAAATATCATTCAGTGCTCTTAACTACTGAGCAATTTCTCCAGCCCCATAGATGCTTTTATTCATTGGTGAGTCAAGCCACACTTGAGAACTTCAGATGGTCATATTCTCAGAAGGGAGGTGAAGTTCTGAACCTCTGGTTCAAGTATTGCCTCTCAACTAAATGACCATCTCTGACCTTGCTCTTTCTGCTTCCAGACCCGAATGGATTTTTTTCAGCTGATGATGAACACTCAGAATTCCAAAGGCAAAGAGTCCCAGAAAGGTAACCCAGGGCTCTTCACTGTGTGTGGCTCAAGAATCCCAGAGAGCAGAGGGTATCAGGACATGTGCATGGAGGGGGGTCCAGGATGGATGCTTCTGACAAACTTCACAAAGATGCACATGGATGGTATCTATGGTGTCCACAGGAGCCTTCTAGAAGTGCCCTGGTGTACACGAACCATAGCCTCTAGGGCAGCCACAGAGAAGCATTTTGTACCCAGAAGTCCTCAGTGGTGCTGGGTCGTCTATCAGAGCAGAGTCAGGTTTTCAGCCCCTTCCCATCACACTGATTCTGGATCTCTGCCTGGGAATGTGCATCTGGGCCCGATAAGGAAGTTCACTGTCCGGAAGTGGGGATGTTTCCTTGGAGTGAGTGGTGGAATCATGTTCAACAGCTTCATCTGAATTTACTCTGCTCTGTGTAAATAGCACCTGGGAAATGGAATACCCTGATATTCTTCATTTTTCAATCCTCTGTTTCATATCATTCCAAGTTTCCCCAGATATAAAAGGACCAATTCTGATGCTGTTCAACTGACATTTTTCTTGGATTTCATACCTAGTACTCATCCATGTACAGACACAGCCATTCTATTCCTCTGGTGCTAGGCACAGTCTCCACTCTTCTAGCATTTTCTTTTTCTGTAGATTATGTGTGTACTGAGATAACATGCTGTGAAGATGAAACCCCAGGCACAATCCCTTCAATTGAGGCTGTGCACACAAATGTCCACACATAGTAACACTTCAGACACTACTGGCAGAGTTAGGGAGGCTTGGAATTTGTGTGTTTCTAATAAGCTCCTAGATGCTACTGGTCCACAAACCACATTTGACTACCAGGAGTAGTCACGTAAGGTGTTTAATGATTCCTATTTTTAAGATTTATTTCTATCTTATGTGTGTAAAAGTTTGCATGTATGTATATGCACCACTTGGTGCTGGTATCTGTGGATGCTAGAAGAGGACATTGGATGCCCTAGAACTGGAGTTACAGGAAATATTGAACTGCCATGGGGGAATAGGATCTAACCCAGTCCCTCTCCAAGAGCATCAAGTGCTCTTAACCACTTAACCATCTCTTCAGCCTCCTCAAAGGTGTTTAGTTAGAAGATATTTGATTTTTCATTCTGTGAAGCATTGACGTAACAAACACTCAACATTTGCCACCTATGCTTTAATGAAAATCACATAAATTTTTTTCCTGGGCAACTAAGCTATTCCATATTTTGCTTACCTGTGGTATTTGGATTAATCATTTATCTTGTCACTGTGGCAAAGATAATTGACAGAAGAAATTTTAAGGAAGGTTTTTTTCTCTGACTTTGAGGGTATAGACCATCATGATGGAAGGATCGTGGCAGCAGGAGCATAAGGTACCCCACACCCCACATCTAGGGTCAGGAAACACAAACGCCAGGCCTCTGCTCTCTCCTTTTATTCAGTTCAGGAAGTTAACACATGGAATAGTGCCACAATCAAGATAGGTATTCTATGGCTGGAGAGGTGGCTCTGCAGTCATGAACCCTTGCTGTTCTTCCAGAGGACCTGAGTTTGTTTGATAAAACTCATGATAGGACTGGTCTTCTTCTCCACCCACGAGACCAGTGCCTGGGGACTGCCACAGAGCTTCCCTTCCTGGCGGGAGCCTATGCACCTCAGATTCCTGGTCTTCTTTTCCACCAACAGGACCAGATAAACTGGGCCCTGTATCTGGACCTGCCTTCCAGTGCCAGGGGACTGCCACAGAGTTTCCCTTCCTGCAGGAGCCTACGCACCATAGTTTCCTGGTCTTCTTCTCTACCCACGGGACCAGGCAATTTGGGGTCTGTTTCTGGGCCCGTGCTCCAGTGCATGGAGACTGCCACTGAGTCTCCCCTCCCGGTGGGAGCTTATGCACCCCAGATTCCTGGTCTTCTTCTCCACCTACAGGACCAGGACTAGGACCAGGAATAGAAGAACTACAAAGTATTGGAATTGCTTGCACCCACCGAAAGTGAACTCTGGTCCCCTGACCACCAGGCCAGTAAGAGGCTCTTTATGCACCCACTAGAAGAAGGAATGGGAAGGAGACAATACAAAAACACACTCAGCAAAAGAAAAACAAATATGACACCGCCAGATTCTAGAGACTCCACACCACCACGACTCCAACATTCCAATGCAAATGAAGCAGACGAGAATGACCTTAAAAACAACTTTATGAAAATGATAGAGGCCCTCAAAGAGGATATGGGAAAATCCCTCAAAGAAATGGAAGAAAAAACAAACCAAAAAAATGCAAGAAATGGAAGAAAAAACAAACCAAAAAAATTCAAAAGATGCAACAAATGGATGAAAAGACAAAGTAAAAATTGTAAGAAACAATTCAAACAGAGCAAGGGTTGAGAACTGAAGTAGAGACAAAAAATCACAATCTGAAGGAAGGCTGGAAATAGAAAAGCTGGGCAAATGGTCAGGTACTACAGATGCAAGCATAACCAACAGAATATAAGAGATGGAAGAGAGAATCTCAGGTGTTGAAGATACACTAGGAGAAGTGGATTCATCGACCAAAGAAAATCTTAAGTCCAACAAATCCTTAACACAAAATATCCAGGAAATATGGGACACCATGAAAAGACCAAACCTAAGAATAATAGGTATACAAGAAGGTGAAGAAAACCACCTCAAAGGGGCAGAAAACATATTCAACAAAATCATAGAAGAAAACTTTCCCAACCTAATGAAAGACATGGCAATGAAAGTACAAGAAGCCTACAAAACACCAAATAGAGTGGACCAAAAAAGGAAGTTCCCTTGCCACAAAATAGTAAAAGCCCAAAACATACAGAATAAAGAAAGACTATTAAGAGCAGCAAAGGAAAAAGGCCAAGTAACATACAAAGACAAACCTATCAGAATCACACCTCACTTCTCCATGGAAACTCTGAAAGCCAGAAGGTCCTGGATAGATATTGCAACAACACTAAGAGACCACAGATGCCATCCTAGACTGCTATGCCCAGCAAAGCTTTCAATCACTATAGATGTAGAAAACAAGATATTCCATGACAAAACCAGATTCAAACAATACATATCCACTAACCCAGCCCTACAGAAAGTTCTGGAACAAAAACTCCAACCCAAGCAAGTTAACTACAACCAGAAAAACATTTCCCAACAGCGAAAAGAAAAAAGAGGTGGAAATCCACATACAAGACCACCAATAACAACCATTCCAAAAGAAACAAGAATGAGCAATCAATGGCCATTAATATCCCTCAATATTAATGGTCTTAACTCACCATAAAAAGACACAGGCTAACAGAATGGATTCGAAGACAGAACCCATCCTTCTGCTGCATACAAGAAACACACCTCAGCCTCAAAGACAGACATTACCTCAGAGTTAAGGGTTGGGAAAAATTTTCCAATCATATGAACCCAAGAAAAAAGCTGTGGTAGCAATCCTAAAATCTAACAAATTAGACTTTAAGATGAAATCAATCAAAAGTGATGAAGGAGGTCATTTCATACTCATCACAGGAGAAATCCACCAAGATGAAGTCTCAATTCTGAACATCTATGCCCCAAATAAAAAGGCATCCACGTTTGTAAAAGAAACATTACTGAAACTCAAATCACACATAAAGCCCCACACACTTATAGTGGAATACTTAAACATCCCATTCTCAGCATTAGACAGGTCCACTAGACAGAAACTTAACAAAGAAGCAAAGGAACTAAAAGAAGTTGTGACCCAATTGGGTTTGACAGTCATCTATAGAACATTCCATCCACATAAAAAGAATATACCTTCTTCTCACCACCACATGGAATCTTCTCAAAAATCGACCACATACTTGGCAACATATCAAACCTCAGCAGCTTTAAAAAAATTGGAATAACTCCATGCATCTTAGCAGACCACCATGCATTAAAATTAGAACTCAACAACAACACAAATCGCAGAAACCCTGCAAACTCATGGAAATTGAATAATGCACAATTGCACCGCTCCAGAGTAAAAAAAGAAATAAAAAAAGAAATAAAGACTTCCTGGAATTCAATGAGAATGAAGACACAACATACCCAAACCTATGGAACACTTTGAAAGCAGTGCTACGAGGGAAGTTCATAGCAATAAGAGTCCACCTGAAGGAACTTGAGAATAGTTACACTAGAGAATTAACAGCACAGTTGAAGCTCTAGAACACAAAGAAGCAAACTCACCCAGGAGGAGTAGACACCAGGAAATAATCAAACTGAGGGCTGATATCAATAAAGTAGAAACTAGGAAACCAATACAAAGAATCAATGCAATGAAGAGTTAGTTCTTTGAGAAAATCAACAAGATAGAAAAACCTTTATCCAAACGTACAAAACAGCAGAGTGTGAACATGAAATTAACAAAATCAGAAATGAAAAGGGGGACATAACAACGGACTCTGAGGAAATCCAGAGAATCACCAGATCACACTTTGGAAACCTGTACTTCACAAAATTTGAAAATTTAAAGGAAATGGACAATTTTCTGGATAGCTGTCACTTGCCAGAATTAAATCAAGATCAGATAAGCAATTTAAATAGACCTATAACCCCTATGGAAATAGAAGCAGTCATCAAATTTTCCCAACCAAAAAAAGCCCAGCTGCAGATGGCCTCAATGCAGAACTCTACCAGAAATTCAAATAACAGTTTATGCCAATTCTTCTCAAAGTATTCCATGCAATAGAAGTAGAAGGGTCTTTGCCAAACTCTTTCTACGAGGATTCAATAACCTTGATACCCAAGCCACACAAAGATACAACTAAGAAAGAGAACTTCAGACCAATATCCCTCATGAACATTGAGGCAAAAATACAGGCAAATTGGATCCAACAACACATCAAAACAATCATCACCATGATCAAGTAGGTTTCATCCCAGGGATGCAGGGATGGTTCAACATAAGAAAATCTATCAACGTAATTCACCATATAAACAAGCTGAGAAACAAAAATCACATGATCATCTCTCTATATCTTGAAAAAGCCTTTGACAAAATTCAACATCACTTCATGATAAAGGTCTTGAAGAGATTCGGGATAACAGGAACATACCTAAACATAATAAAAGCTATATACAGCAAACCAACAGCCAACATCAAACTAAATGGACAGAAACTCAACGCAATTCTGCTAAAATTCTGAACAAAACAAGGCTGTTACTCTCTCTATACCTTTCAGTATTGTACTTGAAGTTCTAGCTACAGCAATACGACAACAAAAGGAGATCAAGGGGATACAAATTGGAAAGGAAGAGGTCAAACTTTCACTATTTGCAGATGATATGTTAGTTTACATATGTGATCCAAAATACACTACCAGGGAACTCCTACAGCTGATAAATACTTTCAGAAAAGTGGCAGGATACAAGATCAACTCAAGAAATCAGTAGCCCTAATATACAGACGATAAAAGCGCTGAGAAAGAAATCAGAGAAACATCACCCTTTACAATTGCCACAAACAACATAAAATATCTCGGAGTAATGCTAACCAAACAAGTGAAAGATCTATATCGCAAGAACATGAGTCTTTAAAGAAATTAAAGAAGACATCAGAAAATGGGATGATCTCCCATGCTCTTGGATAGGTAGGATCAATGTATTAAAAATGGCAATCCTGCCAAAAGCAATCTATAGAGTCAATGCAATCCCCATCAAATTCCAGCACAATTCTTCACAGACCTTGAAAGAACAATTCTCAACTTTATATGGAAAAACAAAAAATCCAGGATAATCAAAACAATGCAGCGTCTGAAGGCATCACCATCCCTGACTTCAAGCTCTATTATAGAGCTATAGTCCTGAAAACTGCTTGGTATTGGCACAAAAATAGACAGATAGACCAATGGAATCAAATTGAAGACCCTGAGATTAAGCCACAAACCTATGAACACCTGATTTTCGACAAAGAAGGTAAAATTATGCAATGGAAGAAAGAAAGCATCTTCAACAAATGGTGCTGGCATAACTGGATGCTGGCATGTAAAAGAATGTGGATAGATCCATGTCTATCACTATGCACAAAACTTAAGTCCAAATGGATCAAAGACCTCAACATAAATCCAACCACACTGAACCTCTTAAAAGAGATAGTAGGAGGTACCCTTGAATGATTGGTACAGGATACCACTTCCTGAACATAAAACTAGTAGCACAGACACTGAGGTCAACAATTAATACATGAGACCTCCTGGAAATGAGAAGCTTATGTAAGGCAAAGGACACAGTCAACAAGACCAAAAGGCAGCCCACAGAATGGGAAAAGATATTCATTAACCCCACATCTGACAGAGGACTGATCTCCAAAATTTACAAATTACTCAAGAAGCAAGTCTCCAAAACACCAAAGGATCCAATTAAAAAGTGGGCTACAGGACTAAATAGAGAATTCTCAATAGAAGAGTCTAAAATAGCTGAGAGGCACTTGAGAAAGTGCTCAACATCCCTAGCCATCAAGGAAATACAAATCAAAACAACTCTGAGATACCATCTCACTCCTGTCAGAATGGCTAAAATAAAAAACACCAATGACAGTTTATGCTGGAGAAGATGTGGAGAAAGGGGAACACTCCTCCACTGCTGGTGGGAGTGCCGACACATACAACCACTTTGGAAATCAGTATGGAGATTCCTCAGAAAAATGGGAATCAGCCTACCACAAGACCCAGATATTCCACTCTTAGGCATATATTCAAAAGATGCACATTCATACAACAAGGACATCTGTTCCACTATAGCAGCATTATTTGTAATAGCCAGAACTTGGAAGCAACCTAGATGCCCCTCAACCGAAGAGTGGATATAGAAAATGTGGTGCGTTTACACAGTGGAGTACTACTACCCAGTGGGAAAAAACAATGGAATCTTGAAATTTGTAGGCAAATGGATGGCCCTAGAAGAAACCATCCTGAGTGAGGTAACCCAGTCACAAAAAGAGAAACATGGTATGTACTCTCTCATATATGGATTTTAGACATAGATCTGGGGAGTGCCAGCCTACAATCCCACAGACAGAGACTCTGATATACAAAACCTTCATCCAGTGACTGATGGAAGCAGAGGCAGACTCCCACAGCTAAACACTGTACTGAACTCAAGGAACCCAGTGACAGAGAGGGAGGACTGATGAGCAAGGGGGTTAAGACTAGGTTGGTTTAATCCCCAGAAACAGCTGACCTGAACAAGGAGTAGCTCTTGAATCCCAGACTGATGGCTGGGAATCCAGAATGGGACTGATCATGACACCCTGAATGTGGGTGTCAGTGAGGATGCCTAGGCAATCTGTGGGGCCTTGGGTAGTAGATCAGTATTTATCCCTGGCATACAAATGGACTTTGGGTGCCCATGCCACAGTGAGAAATGCACTCTCACCCTGGACTCTTGGGGGAGGGTCTAGGTCCTGCCCTGGATGAAATGACAGACCTTGGACACCCCCATGGAGGGCCTCACCCTCCCTGGGGAAACAAGGAGGTATCAGGGGGTTGGAGGGAGGGTATGGGAGGAGGGGAGGGAAAGGGAGAGGGACCTGGGATTGACATGTGAAGCAACCTTGTTTCTAATTTAAATTTAATAATAAAAAATAAAAACCACAACAACAACGAAAAACTCATGATAGGCAGCTCACAATTACTGGCAACTCCAATTCCAGGGGCTCTGACACCATTGTTTGATTTCAGTGTGTTTATACGCATGCACACGCACGCATGCGCGCGCGCGCGCGCACACACACACACACACACACACACACACACACAAAGTTAATTTTAGAAACAAGATGGGTCTTCCCATAACAATTAACATAATCAAGATAAACTCTATGGGCCTATCAGGAAGTAAGTTGGTTTTGATGACACCACAACACCATGCCTGGGAACTTATCTCCTAGGTGATTCTGGATCCTATTAAGTTGTCAGTCACTATCAACTACCACAATACTTTTGTTTTCATTCCATACTAATATAACATTCTGTCTCTTGATACTGCCCAGTTGTGATGATATTAATTTGGCCTAATATTTGGTCACCAATAATGTAGTTCTTAAGTCATCTTGAACTAAAATAATTTGACCATGGGACTGGAGAGAAGGCTCAGCAATTAAGAGCACTGGCCACTCTTCCTGAGGACCTGGATTTGATTCACAACACTCATGCAGCAGCTCACAGCCATTGTAATTCCAGTTGCAAGGGATCTGATGCCCTCCCCTACCCTCCATGGACATCAGGGATGCATGTGATACACAGGTGTACATGCAGATAAAACACCCATACACGTAAAATATGCTTAAAAATAATTGGACCTTCTTCTGGTATGTCAGACAAACACAAGAGTGGAACTCAGTCCCAGTGACTCTGGACCACCTTTTTCTGTTCTTTCCTAGACAGCTGGGGGCACCATTTGAATTTATTTTCTTGTCAACTCTGATATTCTGCTTTGATCTTCCTTATCTACAATGTTCTTTTCCTTTTAGCTCTTTCCGATCTAGAAATGGCAGCACAAGCCATTATTTTCATTTTCGCTGGTTATGAATCCACAAGCACCTCCATTTGTCTCGTATTGTATGAACTGGCCACCCACCCTGATGTGCAGAAGAAACTTCACGATGAGATTGACAGCGCTCTGCCCAATAAGGTGAGAGGATGGTACCCAGAGGGTGGGCAGAAACTCCAGGATGAGATTGACAGCTCTCTGCCAAATAAGGTGAGAGGATGATACCCAGAGAGGGAGGGCAGAAACTCCAGGATGAGATTGACAGCGCTCTGCCCAGTAAGGTGAGAGGATGGTACCCAGCGGGAGGGCAGAGCAAAGGACTGGCAAGAACATGTCTCATCACTTGCAATGAGAGTGTTCACAGAGAGCCACACAATGGTTCTTCCACCGAGCAAGAGTCTAAGAGAAACAAAGGGAGGGACATAAGTGATAAATGTGATGCAGAAATGCACAATCTTTAATACAGTGCTGGCTCTGGTGCATCTGTTCTCCTTTATGACAATAATACCAAGTAAGAGATGCCAGGAAACCTTTGTGACACTTGAGAATAGGCACCAGTTCCTTAAGTGTCTGCACAGATATCTCTGCTGATGTCCTCAGGATGCTGTCCAGGCTATCTATGGTGCTGGTAATTTTACAACAATAAGTTTTCTGAGTCATGCTGAGTGACCATGGGACCCTCTCTCTGTCATTGAAGCAATTGTCTCACCCAGACCTAATTGGCTCCAAAGTTCATGAGGGCTAGGAGATTCTCTTCAAGGTAGGACGCCAGTTTCTTTTGATCAGAACGTTAACTTTTGGAGTACCCCTGACTTATCTTCATCCCCATGCTAGGGCACAGGACAGCTGGAGCCAACTTCAGCTTGGCGTCTTTCCCACGAGTTCATTCATCTTTTCCCCATGCTTTTCAGCTGGCCTGCCACTTCCTCTGTGTATTTCAGTTCTTCCTCTCTTCCTTTATCTAGAAAAGGTATTTTTTTTCTCCTTCGAAATCGTCTTCACCAGCTCACACAGAGGCAGCTTCTAGTCTGTCATCTTACCCAGAACCCTTAATTGTACCTTTCACTGAACTAATCCCATAATCTAAGGATATACCAAGATGTGGCATTGTCAATTTCAGCCTGGTTGGGCCAGGAGTGGGGAGTTCGTTCTTTGCAATGACTGATGGTCTATGGAGATGAGACAATCACATTTTTGTTCGAGAGTAACTGTCATAATATACTGGTAATATATGCTCACATGGGAAAAATCACAGCAAAACAATGCTGAGGATGAGGAGATCTGGACAGGGGAGTGTCCCAAGTTGATCCTATGATAAAAATTATACTTTACATCTTAATGGGCCATAATCAGAACAAAGATCATCACAGGTATAGAATGATTAAGGACAAGGTCTACTAATTGAGGTTAGCTCTTAGAGCTTCTGACGTGTTTGACAGGACATGACAAACCGAATTGAGGAGCCAGTCCAAACCTCATCTGGAAACATGTTTTCTCTTCCCAGGCACCTGTCACCTATGATGTCCTGATGGGCATGGAGTACCTGGACATGGTGATAAATGAAGGTCTCAGATTGTACCCAATTGCTAACAGGCTAGAGAGGATCTCGAAGAAGGCTGTAGAAATCAATGGACTGTTCATTCCTAAAGGGATTACAGTTATGGTACCAACCTATCCTCTTCATCGGGACCCTGAGTACTGGCCAGAGCCTGAGGAGTTCCGCCCTGAAAGGTACAGAGACTCTGTAAGAAGAGAGAAGCTCTGGGCTTTTGACATCTCAATGCTACACCCAGTGACACTATTCCTCCAACAAAACCACACATAATAATCCTTCTAATCCTTTCAAATGGTGCCATTCCCTGGTATTCTATTCAAAAATAGAAGCCTATGGGGGCCATTCTTATTCAAACCACCACATTCCATTCCCTGGCCTCCACTGGGTTATAGGCATAACATAATACAAAAATGCATTCAGTCTCAACATTGTTTAAAAGTCCAAAGTACAAAGACGTTTCTGAGACTCAAGTCAATCTCTTAACTGTAGCCCTCTGTAAAATTAAAATAAAGAAAACTGATCACATTAACTACCAACATACAATGGCACAAGATATGCATTACCATTCCAAAAGGGAGGAGAGGGACCATAGTGAGTAAATACTAGACCAAAGCAAGACCAAAACCTAGCAGGACAAACTCCAAGTCCTGAATCTCCAAATCTGATGTCAAAGAGGTGTTCAGATCTCCAACACCTTTCAGATCTGTTGACTGAAACACACTTCTCTCTCATGCTGGTTCCACACTTCATCAGCAGCTCTCCTTGGCAGGTCCCATAGCTCTGACATCTCCAACATCTTGGGGCCTCCAATGAAATCCAGGCTTCACCTTCACAGTTTCACACAGTGGCCTCTCTGGGCCTCCATGTAGGGATGCCCCTGACACATGCCTGTCCTCATGATCTTTCCTTAGTCATGTAGAGAGATTCCATAATACCTCTCCTGTATCCTTGACAGTAACACTAGACCACATGGCCAAAACTGCCAAATTCTGCTGCTTGCTGGGGCTGGAACTTGGCCCCCTCATTCTGTTACATCTGCATCACCTTTCTATTTTTGATAGTTTCCTTCACTGCCTAAGCTTTCCTTTACTTCTTTTTCACAAGTTGGAAGCTTAGCTGGGTATGGTCTTGCCATGAAGTCACCACCACTCCCTTTATTCTATTTAGCATCAGGTTTTTTCTTTAATCAGTTTATCTCCTTGAACACAGAACTGGCTGCATTGAGCTTCCTCCCACTCATTTTCTCCTCAAACTACATTTTCTATTTTTCCTTGTATGGCCTCCTCATTTTCATTATGCATAAGAGTGACCACTAGTAACCACATGACACAGTCAATACCAGGCTGTGTTGAAATCTCTTCTGCCAAAACCATTAATCTAAAACTCTTCAATTTAGCCTCAGGCAGATTTTTTTTGACAAGGGTAGAAAGCAACCAATTCTTTGACAAATATCACAAGAATGATTTCAAGGCCAGTGACTAATATTTTCCCCTCTGAAAATTCTTGAACCAGCTGTCACAGTTCACATCACCCTCAACATTATTGTCCATGTTCCGATACTAAGATGGCCCATGAATCCCTACTTAAAGCATTCAACCACTTTTTTAGTTCAAAGTCCAAAACTTTTCCATGTTCTTCCAGGAAACAGCATGGTCAGACCTGTCACAGTGATTCCAAGTCCCTGGTACTGACTTCTGTCTTAGTCACTGTTCTATTGCTATGAGAAGACACCATGGCCCAGATAACTCTTATGAAGGAAAGCATCTAATTGGAGACTGGCTTACAGTTTTAGAGGTTTAGTTCATTATCATCATGGTGAGAAACATGGTGGCATGTAGGCTAGCACCAGAGCAGTAATGGAGAGATACATCTTATCCTGATCCATAGGCAGAGAGACTCTGAGATTGGCATGAGCTTTAAAAACCCCCAAGTCCACCCCTAGTGACATACCTCCTCCAACAAGGCCATGCTTCTTAATCCTTCTAATTATTTTAAATAGTACCACTCCTTAGTGACTAGGCATTCAAATATATGAGCCTATAGGGGCCATTCATATTCTTTTTTGTCTTTTTTATTTTTAAATTTAAATTAGAAACAAGGTTGCTTCGCATGTCAATCCCAGCTCCCTCTCCAAATATCACAATGCCTCTTGCAGGAAATCACATACTTCTGTACCTTTTTACATCTATATATCCTTTTGGAAGTGTGTGTGTGTGTGTGTGTGTGTGTGTGTGTGTGTGTGTGTCAGAGAGAGAGAAAGAGAGAAAGAGAGAAAGAGAGAGGTGTGCCAGTATACTCAGAAGCCAGAAGACATCAGATATCCTAGAACTTGACTTATGAGGTTGTGAGCTGTCCATTGTAGGTTCTAGGTATTGAACTCAAGTCCTTTGCAAGAACAAGTTCTCTTGAACACTGAGCAACTTTTAAAAATTATAAAGTGATGATTAATGTTGAAACCATACAAATGAACCAGAAAATAAATAAATCAATGGCCATTCAGAGTACTAAAATGTAAAGGGAAGCTTTTTCCTTGAGTGAAGCCTTCCCGCCAGCCTGGTTCTAGATCCGCATCAGTCCCAAATAAACACACAGGATGCTGGATTAATTATGAAGCTGTTGGCCTTGCTTGTTTCTTACTGGCTAGCTCTGACTTAAGTAATTACCCCATAATTGTTAATCTAAGTATTTCTCTTACCAGAGAACTTTCCGGGCTTCCTACCCCATGGCGTTACATCTCGACTCTCTGTCTTTCTCCTTCCCAGAGTCCTTCTGGACTCCTAGTCCCACCTATCTTGATTCCTATTGGCCAGCAGTGCTTTATTGACAAATGCACAGGACTTCCCCCCCAACACTAAAATATTAACATTAACCTCATTGATAAGGTGATACTTGCCCTTGTAGGTGCACATCTGTGTGTGCATGTGAAGACTTAGAAAAGCTGGTGTAGCATCATTTCAGTTGTATTTTGAGTAGCCATTTACTTAAATAAGTCATGAACTATCTGCTATTTCACAGTAGATATGTCTTTTTAGTTAACTATACACTACTATAATTTAGTGAAACACAACATAATTTTAGAAATGAGGGCTTGTTTTTTGCTCCCTTTACCTCCCTGAATTTATTACTAGCTTTGAAATATTTTATTACATTTGTGCCAAGAGGGTATGTACATAACACAGCATAGGTCAGAGGACAACTTATGGAAGTTGTTTCTGCTCTTCAACCATGTGGGGCCTGAGGATTGAACTCAGGTCATCAGGTTTAACAGCAATCACCTTCATCCACTGAGCTATCTCATTAACTGTATAATCAGGTTCAGGAAACAGTTCCATTATCCATTTGGTTAGCCTCCTCTGGGTCCTCTGGTGTAATTTTAATGGCACAGAGGTCTGAAAGGCAGGGCAATTGCCTTTCTAAGGACAGTGGTGACCTCAGAAACTACCAGCCCTGTCTTGGGCTGCCATCTTGGGCCATCTTCTTCACAGTTTCCATGACTCTAGAGCCCAAGTCACCTCTTTCAAGATGTCTAAGGTAGTCCTCCCTGGAGATGGCTTGAGCATTCTAGTTAGTGTGAAGGTCAGGGGTCAGGCATGGTTTGCAACTTAAAAATAGATGGTGTTGCATACTATGTTAGAAAGCAAAATCAGTAATTTAAGGCAGTGACTAGTAAGAGAACGAGCCCGACACCCACACTCCATTTGCCCATTCACTACACACTTCCTTATAGCTGGGACCTTGTCTTGTCAGCAGTGGTGGCCCTAGTGCCATTATTATATCTGCACACTGGACATATGGAAGGAGTCTATCAGAGTTGATTGATTCCTCTGTTCTCTTGACCAGAGTATCTGTCTCATCAATTCTGCTTCCTGTAGTTCACAGTCTGTCACTTTACTTTTGTTTGATTCACACAGTCACCAAACAGTTAGTGCAGACCATGTGCCAGGACCAAGTCAGTCTTTGAGAAACCTAACTGTTACAAAGGCAGTGGAGGATTTGACCTGTAATTCAGTACAATCTATGTCATAAAGCTATATGATTCTTTATGTGGGGATCCATGTGTGTACATGTGCTTGTGTGGGTGCACATGTGTGTGTGTGTGTGATTGTGGGAGTACACATTTGTGTTTCTCTGTGTGTATATGTGTGTTGGAGGTGTATATATGTATAGGTGTATTGCATGAGTGGGATGAGTGCATGTGTATATATGTCTGAGGCATGGAGAAACCTCAGATGCCGCTCTCCAAGAGCCCACCACTCTTGTGACGGGATCTCTCATTGGACCAGGACTTCTCTAAGAGCAGCTGGACAGTGAATTCCAGGGATCTGATCATGTCCATCCCCCATCTTGCCACTGCTAGGATTACAGGCACACCCCACCATGTCCAGCTTTCCGTGCAGGTTCCAGGGATCAAACACAGACCCTCACACTTGACAGAGAAGTACTTTACTGCATAAGCCACCTCCCAAATCCCATGTAATTATTATAATGCATTTTTTGTGTCCACCCCTGTGAACTTCTTATCCACACATGGCTCAATTTATCCACACTTCTATGGTACTTCCTAGCATATCACATGTAAATACTTCTCTTTTTCTTGCAAATTATCAAAAACAGTTTTAAAACACTGATTATTGTTGTTCTTGTCACTTCCTCAGGATCATTTCTTTGTCACCTAAATAGTCAAATAATGAAAAAATAAATCTGAATACATTCAGCTCTACATGTTCAGTAGATATTTTCTAGCTTAGTGGATAAGGTAGACATAGACGTCTTTCGTGATGCTACGGTAGAGACTCACTCTGTGTCCCAGAAAGATATTTGGCTTTGGCTATTCTTTGGAGGGAGGGGAAGAAAGCAAAAGCAATTCCGAGAAAAAAGAAGAAGCCCACAAGGAAAATACAGGTGAGGAGAGCTACAAAGAAGGAAATGAAACGAGAGGAGAAGGAGTAATGGAGGAGGGAAAATGACCCTTTCCCATAGTGACAGAATTTTTTGTCTTCTCCTAAGTGTGAGGCAGGAGCCTTCAGTGTGGACAATCCCAATATGTCTTTTGAGAAGAACACTTCACCACCACAAATGGGATACTTTGTGTTTAAGGATGTGTTTTCTCTCAAAAAGCATTTGTTTCCACTTGTCTCAGCAACACAGAAAACGCCTATTCTTTGGTGTGAGTAGGAAGGATCCTTAGCTCACAGTTAGTCAGATGCCTGTAGCAAGGCTTCGATTGCAAGTCCACAAATGTACGCTGCACCTTCCTGGTGGAGGGGTGTGAGAACTCCAAATGGGGAGCTTTTGGGGTCTTTATGTCCCGTAGCCTCGTCCTCACTCCTGTGGTGTCTCCAGGTTCAGCAAAGAGAACAAGGGCAGCATTGATCCTTATGTATACATGCCCTTTGGGAACGGACCCAGGAACTGCATTGGCATGAGGTTTGCCCTCCTAAGCATGAAACTGGCTGTCGTCAGTGTCCTGCAGAACTTCACCCTCCAGACTTGTGAGCAAACAGAGGTGAGGCCAAACGCTGTCTCAATAAATACTTCAACTTGCATTTTTAAAAAGTTTAGAGCTTTGCATATAGAAAATAATTGCTTGTCTTGGTTACTTTTTTTTCTGTTGTTGTGATAAAACACCATAACCAAGACAACTTAGTTTTAAAAAGTGTTTAATTGAGTTTATGGTTCTAGAGGATTGAGGTCCTTGATGGTGAAGGGAAGGCATGGCAGCAGGTAGAGCTGAGAGTTCACATAGGAGGAGAGGCTGGAAATGAATGGCATTAATCTTTGAAACCTCAAAGCCCACCCCCAATGACACACCTCCTCCAAAAAGGCCACACCTCCCAATCCTTCCCAAGCAGGTCTATCAACTGGGGACCAAGTATTCAAACATTAACCTGTGGAGCCATTTTCATTCAAGCCACCACACTGTTCTCTGACGTTTTAATAATGTATGGAACAAAGAATGTATTTATAGTCTGATATGAGCTTTAAAAGTCCTTCCATCCTAAGCTGTGTCTGAATCAAGCGCAAATAAGGAATTCACTTGGAGTCAGTGCAGGTTAGTGGGACATGATTATATGAAATCTCCTTGAAATTGAGCCCAAGTTAACTGGAGATGGGGAGACATTGTGCACATAGCATATGATAATGGCTTCATCATGGTTTGTGACTGGTGGGTGTCACTTGGACTTAAGGGAAGTTTCCGGGTGTCAGGGGCTCCCAATCACCGGCTGTGCTTTAGAACTTTTAAAGAGTTTTAAACACTCATGTCTGGTGATATCAGGTACGTTGAAATAATTCACCTAGAGTGTGGCTTTTAAAGATACAAGTTAGTCTTCTGCACGACCAAAATTGAGAGTCACTGATGTGACACAGGATATGCGTGTCATTAAGGGTGGCCTTTGAAGTTTCCAAAGCCCACACTAGTCCCAGTGTTGTTGTTCTCTCTGCGTGTGGATCAAGATGTAGTTCTCAGCTCCTTCTCCACCACACCCACCATGCCTGCTTCTGTGCTCCCCACCATGATGACAATGGACCAAGCCTCTGAAACCGTAAGCCAGCCCACAGGGAAATGCTTTCTTTTGTAAGAGCTGCCATGGTCGTAGTACTGCTTCACAGCAATGGAACAGTGACTAAGACAATGGAGATACTATGTAAATCACTGCCCAACAGTTGAGTTCTAACATACATGTGAAGTATGCAGCGCTTGATTTCCTGTTGGTTGCTTTTCTTCATGGGAGGCCAGGAGGATATAAGTGGCCTATGACTGCAATGTAGCTGTCCTGTCAACACATGCAGGGGTTTATTTGGATGGACAGACGGACAGAACATTTAGTCTTGGAAGGAAGCAGGACTCTGAGACACCAATCAAGCTCCCTTCACCCACAGTTTGACACCTTTTTCCGTGGCAATTTTCTTTCCCTTTTCTGTACTGAGATCAAATCGTTATGTTGGAAGCATCCCCATGCCCTCAAGACTGAAGCACAATGATTGTGTAAACATTGAATTATGCAAGATAACCTTTCAAACTACCCTTGGAAGCTAAGATAACAAGGGGATGACAAGGGTCAGTGATTCCTGGAGTCCTTGCCCACCATTGAACTGAATGGGCAAAGCTGGTGCCTAGATACTTTGGTAACTGAGTCACTCCATATGGGTGAAATGTGCTCAGGATATCCTTATGCTTCAATGAGTGTAAAATTAACTTTATATTGCCTTCAAAATTCATTTTCCATATACTTAAGACATGATCTAAAATTTTAACTTGGAGGGCTGGAGAGATGGCTCAGCCATTAAAGGCTAGGCTCACAATAAAAAATTTTAACTTGGCCTTTGACCTAATATTTAAATCACTAAAGAACACAAACCAACATATTTTTTCTAGCTGTGTACACACAATAGGTGCTCAACTAATACTTTCCTTATAAGAAGATAGATAAGTGATTTTACCATCCAGTCTCAATGAATACGTAGGTATAAAGAACTCAGGATATAGGATACTGATATAGAGTGTGTTTGTGTGCATAAAGTATCCTGGTCCTTAATGTATCTGTTCTCTTTGCTACATTCATTGCTGATGCTTCACTCATTGCTTCTCATTGTAATGGTTCAACTACTGCAGAACCACCTGAAGTTCGCCAGGCAAATAATTCTCCAGCCAGAAAACCCCATCATCCTGAAGATCATATCAAGAGATAAACCCATAACCGGAGCATGAATTTCCCTCAGGAATTATGCTATATTCTTCAATGGGACTGTGTCACAGAACACCAGCAAATTTAATTTAGCACAGAATGTAGCACAGATGAAATTGGCTTACTGAACTTTCATTGATGATTGAGAACTCAGTACTTCACTGAATGTGTTCAGTGTCTATAGGGAGTATTATCTATTGTGTAATTCAATGGAAATAATTAAGTCAATGATAGTTGTGGAGATTCATCTTCTGATTCTCTTGTAACCATCTACACTAATTGCAATTAGTTCCATCAATTCTGAGCTCCAACTGTAGTAACTGTTTCTTTATAGTTCTATCAATAATTTTTATGAAAATAGAAACTATTGTGTTGACTGTTAGTAAAAATATATCAAACTGTTTCTTTGTAAAATTTTATGATATTGAGGATATAAATAAATATCTCCTTCAAAAAATGTGATGTCATTATACACATTAATGGGAAAAACACTGAATCAATAAAACAAGATGCTAATCCTTTCCAATCACCATGATCACCCATTGCTTCCTGATTGTGGATGCCACATGACCTATCTTCTAGCTCCTGCCCCCTGGTTTCCCCTCCACAATGGACTCTCCACCAGAACTCCTTCTCCTTAAACTAGCTTTTCTCAGAGTTTTTATCATAGTAACAGAAAAAAAAACCAAGACAGAATCCATCTTGAGCTCCCCCTGTCCTACAACAATGAACATAAAATAGAAATGGCCGACTGGTTAATGGATTGGGCAACAAAGGCTATCACATTCCAGTCTTATCCAGTATCAGAGACTTCACTGGGGTTCTCCCACTTTAGTTTCCAACCTTCCATTCTCTTCCTGAGTCATTTAGTCTAAAACCATTGTGTGGGGCTCACGAAGGAGGCCAATGCTGATTCCAAATGAGACTCAGAACTTTGGAGAAGATGTCTGCATGGAAGGCAGCCTGGTGGGTGTGCGAGTTCAAGCCAGCAATAAAGCCTCCACTAAAGTGTATCCTTACACAAGAAACTTGTGCTTCAGTGAGTAGAGAGCCCACTGATGACTTCAGCACCAGAGTAATCTGTCTCTTCTGGCCTCTGCAAGCACCTGTTCAGGCATGCACAGACCCACACATGCACACACACACAATTAAAATAAAACAATTTTTTGAAGGGATGGGTATTTGTTTACTGGGGAAGGTTTTTTAATTGAAAACATATTTTTCCTCACATAACATATCCTGCTTATGGTTTTTTTCCCTCTACTCCTCCAAGCCACCCCACACACACACACAATACCTCTATCTAGATCCACTCATTTTCTGACTCCCACTAGAAAACAAACAGGCTGCTAAGGGTTAATAATAAAAATATAATATTAAAACAACCAGAAAAGCTGGGTGTTGGTGGCGCACGCCTTTAATCCCAGCACTTGGGAGGCAGAGGCAGGCGGATATCTGTGAGTTCTACAAAGTGAGTTCCAGGACAGCCTCCAAAGCCACAGAGAAACCCTGTCTTGAAAAAAAAACAGAAAAAAGAGCCTGAGAGAAAGCATAGGAGATTCTTATTCCCACACTCAGGGATCCCACAAAAACACTAAGCTGGAAGCCATAATACATATAGAGAGGCTCTAATACAGAACAGTGCAGGCCTGTGCATGAGGCCTCAGGCTCCGTGAGCTCACATGTGGATCTATCCTGTTGGTTTAGAGGGCCCAGTTTTCTTGGATTCCTCTGACTCTTACATTCTTTTTGCCTTCTCTTTCACAGGGTTCTCTGAGCCCTAAAGGGAGGGGTTTGATATTCCATTTAGGGCTGAGTGTCCCAAAGTCTCTCAATCTGCATAACATCTGGCTGTGAGTTTCTGTATGTGTTCCCATTGGCAGCAGGAGGAAGCTTCTCTGATTATGGCTGAACAAGGCACTGATTTCCTTGCCTGGCTAGAGGCAAAAGAACTTTCTAAAAAAGAATTGATCATGAAAGTAGAAGATGAAATGTCTAGGAAAATGAGGTAACTAAAAAGAAGGAGAAGAAAGGAGGATATAGCAGTAAATGTCATCAAAGTACATTATTTGTTTGCATAAAAATATTACTAGAAAACCCAGTGCTATTTATAATGAATAAATGCCAGTAAAAGATGTCAGGTGTCATGACCCATGCCTTCAATCCCAGGACTTGGGAGCCACAGGTGAATTTGAGGCCATTCTGATTTACAAAGTGAGTTCCAGAACAGCCAAATCTATTATACAGAGAAGCCCTGTCTCAAAAAAAAAAACAAATCAAAAACAACAAAAAGTGAATTCACCAAAGTACTAAGACTATCGAGAATAATGGAAGCCTAACCTCTCAGTCTTGGTAAAAGGAATCAGTTGCAGAACAGAAGAGGACTGATTCCTAAGAAGCCAGGGTGCAATAGGCTGTTTTGAGATAGATTCCTATTTTTCTAATAGGAATAGGTGATATATAAAAATGAGAGAGGGGGGTAGGAAGATATTTCCACATCTCTGAAAGAGTTAGGAAGCTGATATTCTAACCACCATGAACACTCTATTTACGAATAACATTTTTCTGGTTCTTTAGAGAAAAGACAGATTCCAAGGTTGAGAAAGTCCAAGAGGACCTCAGAATACCTTTTTGTGCCAGAAAGTACACACATGCCCAAATGCAAGATGTGTAAGAAAATGTCACAAGGGCCTGGAATTGTATCTGAGTTGATGGAGTGCTTACCCAGGGGTCATGTGGTGGTGCCTGCCTATAACCCAGCACTTGGAAAGTGGAGGCAGAAATTTCTGAAGTCCAATGTCAGTCTCACAGCAAGTTTGAGGCTAGTTTGAACAACATGAGATGTTGTATCAAAAGTGTTATTTGCCTTCTGGAAACATCAGGGAATGCTATGATAACCAAGAATAAAGTAACCAGTGATTCATAAGTTTCATTTTTTAAAAAATGGCTCAGGGTGAACACCTAACATCAGATCCCCATCACCTGCATAAAAGCCAGACAAGGTGGTGCATGCCTGTAATCTTATGGTACAGAGGCAAAGACGGGACATCCCTGGAGCCTGCTGGACAGGTAGTCTTGCCAAGAAATGAGCTCCAAGTCACTGAGACACACCATCTCAAAAGGTAAAGTGGAGGTTCAACAAGATTGGCTCAGCAGGTAAAGGTGCCAGCTGCCAAGACTTACAACCTGTGTTCAATCTCCAAGACCCACATAGTAGGAGAAAGCCAAACCCTGCAAGTTGTCTTATGACTCTAGACAGGCACTGTGATGCATGTGCATGTGTGTGCACACACTAAAATGTAAATGAAAATACTAACAGTGAATGGGAGAGCAGTTGTGGAAGATGCCCTCTTATCACACTCTGGCCTACGCACATATGCCCACATGTGAGCACATAAATACATACATAAGCATACAAAATACAAATAATGACAGAATGAATGGATATATTTCCAAGCAATAGGAAAATTCAACAAGGATTAGCTCTCACCTGTACTAATAGGAGCAGATCTCAACCAGACCCACACACCAGTGACTACAAAGATCAAAAGGATTTAGTTTCTTGGTATCTCCTGTATATGACAAGACAATTACACTCATGTAGTCACAAAAGCTCTGGTTACCTGTACCTGTACAAGACCCACACAAGAACAACCAGTCAACATTCCAGCATGGATGTGGAGAGGGTCATGAGTCCTCACCACATAGAGGAAGAACTCATGATAGCTGATGGCTGCCAGAGGAAGGAGAGTCAGTTTTTTCACGGGGGTGTAGTCCCAGATAGTAGCCTCTGCTCCAGTGTGTGATCCCACACTATGCACATATGGGCAGCACTAATTAGACTCAGTGGTTTGTAAAAGAAAAGAAGCTGTGAAGTTGGGAGGAGGCTTTGGAGAGCATCCAAAAGGATTTGAGCAATGAAGTAAGAGATGTATATGAACAAAATATATTGTGTACATGTATGAAATTCTCAAAGAATAAAAATTTTAATTATATTTTTGAAAAGTATTTTATTTCTGGTTCTTCTCCATTCAGATTTCTATCTTCCCTCTTAATATATATGAAAACATCAGTTCACAGGGTAGTGTTCACAGTACTGGAAAGTGTAATACACAATACTGGATGAGAAAAGTAATTAACAGTCTCATCAAGGTGTGAACCACGTAAGCTACAATAATGACCTACCTGAAAGTTATGACAACTGATGCAATGGCACAAATGTCATGGTAGTAATAAACCACATTTAAAATTGGATTTCAGGCCCTTTACATGAGATGGAACCCATACTGTCAGTGAGGTCGGGAACCTGAGATGAGATAATGCATGAGTCCTAAGAGGATGCCTACTACTGCTAATCTATGAAATGACTATAGCACTAATGAGGTGCCTAATGACATATTGCTATGTCCACTGAATAGTGCATCACTCAACCCTCATCAAAGAAGCTGCTTCTTGTAGTAGGTAGTGATCAGCAAGAAAATCTACACCTTGTCAGCATGAAGAGAGGAAGAGACTTTGGAAAGCTCAGCTCAGACGAGATTGTCTATATCATACCTGTCCCCTCACAGCTCAGGGATCTATGTGGAATGGAAGGCAAAGAGATTGTAAGAGCTAGAGGTAATGGATGACTTCAAGGAAACAGCATTTTCCAGAAACAGCATGGCAGATGCACATATGAACTCACAGAGACTGTGACAGAACTCACAAGGTCTGCACAAGCTCACACCATGCAAAATCTTAGTGTAGAGGAGCTCAGAGTCCTACCCCCAGCCAAGGAGGTATTGTCAAGTGATAGCTCCTGAGATAAGGAAAGTCAGTTTTCATCAATGGGGTGACACTGGGTTTGTCAGCTACACTCCAGGGCAGGTCTTACCCTCAGGAATAGGTATCCAACATGAACTGGACCCCATGGTTTAGTTTGGTTTGAAAGAGCTGGAGGAAATATAAAGTTATGTGGGAAGGAAGATGGAGGAGAATCTGGATGAAATAAATTATTATAATCAAAATATGAAGCTCTCAATTATTGTAAAAATTTTTAAATAAGTGTTTATAGGGAAGATGCCCAGATCTCCCTGGGAAGGGGAAATAGAAGAGAATTTGTGAGTAAGCTGAGGGTGGGTGGGGGTGGGAACATAAGTGATCAGGCTGGGGGAGGAGGGAGCTGGGGATTACTGAAAGAAACTATCGGAAATGGGGGGAGGGCATTTCAGGGTCATGTAAAAACCTGGCTCAATGGAATCTCCCAGGAATATACAAGGATGACCCCAGCTAAGACTCCTAGCAATAGCAGATACATAGCCTGAACTGGCCATTGCCTGTGACCACTTTGGTGCCTAGCCCAATTGTCATCAGAGAGACTTTGTCCAGCAACTGATGGAAACAGACACAGACCTACAACCAAGCATTTTGTGGAGTCCAGGGAATACTGCAGAACATGGGAAGAAAGGATCGTAGGAGCCAGAGGGGTCAAGGACACCACAAGAAAACTCACAGAATCAGCTAACCTGGGCTCATAGTGGCTCACAGAGACTGAACTGACAACCAGGGAGTCTGCATGGGACTGACATAGGCCCTCTGCATGCATGTTACAATTGTGTGACATACATGCATGGTGGTCCTCCTGTGGAATTCTTAACAGTGGGAGCAGGGGTTGTCTCTGATTCTCTTGCTTGCTTTTGGAACCATATTCCTCATTCAGCCCAGCCTTAATACATAAGATGGTGCTTAGTCCTACTGCAACTTGATGAGTCATGTTTTGCTGACACATAGGAGACCTGTCCTTTCCTGAATAGAAACAGAGGAGAAGTGGAAACAGAGCAGGGCAGTAGGGGAAGGACCTGGGAGGAGAGGAGGGAGAGTAAATTGTGGCCAGGGTGTAAAATAAACAAATTCATTTTTTAAAAACAGAGAGGTTTACATGCTTAGTGTACATTTATTGTGGAATATTTTTTACAATAAGAGTTGTCATGATGGTTCGTATTTGCTTTTAAAATTATTATTGATCAAATTGCAGAGGCATGGCTACTCTCAAAAGAGCTCAAAAGAAGTTGATGGAGCCAATCAGATGTGCATGGACATGGTCCCATGAGCACCATAGAAGATGAATTTCTCATTCTGTCACTGACTTATTCATTTTACATTAGATGGTACTCTGTGTTAACACTGAGAAAGCTCAATGGGTATACTGAATCCATAACCATGCATCAGAGTCAGTTGATTAAGCCTCATCTTCATTTGCATTTTATTCATGAAGTAAGTTCAAGGTTCCAATTTTCTTAGACACCACATTCTCAAGGAACACAAGAGAAGTCCTTGAGGGAAAGTCACGCTCCAGTTATGATTGCATCCCGTGGCACAACCTTTAAAATAATGGGTTTTTCTGGTTGAAGCATTGCTTTTCGGCTTAATTTCATTGGGATCTGCAATAGTATAATAAAGGTATTGAAAATCAATGAGTGAACCAACAGCAATCCAGAAAAAAGCTATAAAAATTCATGATGATAAAGATTTGTAGAAACATAAAAGTTGCATTTTACGTCATATATTTCAACTTCCTTATTCTCCAAGCTGTGTCAATTAGATCATGAGATACTACATCCAAACCCTGTATTGGGTAAAATGTTGATTGTGAATCTCCTGCATACAGGGCCTGAGATGAAATCATGTTGGTTTATATTATTTCTGTTGTGTTGATTTAGAGTAAAACAGGTATGTTTAACATGTTTGGACCTGGTTATTAGTTATTATGCCATATTTTAAGCCCTGAAAAGCTGTTTTTGGTTTGTTGAAACTTTTAAGTTAACCCTGGGAAGATACATTTCAAGTCAGAGATGAGCTTTTAAAGTCAGACTCCAGGTAAATTAATTTAGGATTTCAGAAATGACCAGACATCATGAGTTTCAGTTTTTGCTTTTTATATGGATGTCATGTAGCCAATGCTGGCTTCAAATTTACTAAGTGGTCAAGGATTACTTAAACTTCTGACCCTCTTGCTTTTGCTTCTTGAGTGCATGGATTTCATGTATGCATCACTACAGCTACTTCTTGCAGTTCTGGGGGGGGGAACAGGGCTTTGTGCATGTTAGGTAAGCACTTTGCCAACTGAGAAATTTCTCAGACCTCATATATGAGTTGTAAATCTCCTCAGTGATTCTAATGTGTAGCCAGTGGTCGACAAGACTTTCAGAGGAGAGCTTCTGTGAGTTCTTGAAGAAGAGTACACAAACATGACAATCACTGCACCTATTGATGGCACATGACATATTCAACCTCCAATTGACAAGACTGGAACTTCAAACAGGATGCATATAATCCTGTCATGCTGACCTTCACTAACTCTTCATAATGATAAAGTTGTATCCTATATTGACACAGAACCAAAGGCCCCTTAGCTCATGTATACAAAATAACTCATTTGCCCATAAAACAAATTATTAAGCCTCAAACAATCATATTTGTTTTTATACACAGAACTTTCAGTAGGAAAAAAGGCTCTCAGAACATTATTTACAAAGATAGTTTTCTCCCTCACCTGTGTTTCTTTACAAGGCTGTAAGGAGAAATTCTGTAGGACTTTAGTGAGAGCAAGTTTCATGTTCATAAGAGCAAATCTCATGCCAATGCAGTTCCTGGGTCCATTCCCAAAGGGCAGGAATATATAAGGATCAATGCTGCCCTTGTTCTCCTTGCTGAACCTGGAGACACACAATAATGATAGGTCAACAAAAGATAGAAGCATAAGAGCTACATACATGAACTTGCTTTCAGACATCTAAACTAGTGACATACAGGTAATTTGGGAAAGGTTCACTGAATTTCTGCTCTCAGAAATTTGGCTCTGAGAATTGTACACTAAAGGTTCTTTCTACCCCCTTTCTCTATAATAGTTTCCATATGTTAGATAAGACAAATGCTATTTGAAAGAAAATGCATCCCATGTGCCCACTAGTGTAATAGTGGTGTCATGGGATAGAGGAAACCAACCACTGTCTGATTGAATTAGAGTTCCAATTCAGAGGAAATTAATGCCTGGTACTATAAATCTGGTCAGAATCCAATGTCTAGGGAGGTCATAGGCTCTAAGGGAGAATGTACTACTGTTGTTTTGCTAAGTGGATATGTTATCAAACTGCCTTATAAATATTTATGTATATACACAAAAATTTGTGCTGATCTCAGCCTTGATCAGAGAAGCTTCTGATTGCAGTGGGAGACAGAATCCCATAACTGGTCAAAATACTGAAAATGAGTGACGGTGGAGTGTTCACTGCTTAATAAGATATCTATATCACCCCTGCAAGGCTCAGGGAACATCTCAGAAGAGAGGGCAGCATAATTAATAGTTGTGGAATGAAAGGGGTACTGTTAAACACTATCATCTAGACATGACACATCCATTGTACTCATGAACTCCCAGCAGCTGTGGTTGCCTACACAAGACTAGACCCATGTTGATTCTTTCCATCATGGATGGGAGAGGGAGCTCATGAGGTGCCACCTCCCTAAAGAACTATTGACAATGAATGATTCGTGGGGTGGGAGGAAGTGAGCTTTTTAGTCTCCAGGAAATAATCTTATACCCATGCTTATGCAAGCAACCCTAATTAAACTCCCAAGTCACAAGAAAACAGGAAGACATGAAAAGAGGAGGAAGACTTGATGGGGAGAAGTAGGATTGAACACCAGTGGAGGGAGAAGAGACAGGGTAATGCGAAGTGAAAATGACCAAAACACATTATATATGGCTGCATTTGTCAATGGATAAAAAAGAAAAAGCAACAGGATGCATCTCTAAACGCTAAAGTCTATTCAGGATAATGCTAGGTTTCATATCTGAAAAGCACATGCCAATTAGACTGAAGGAAAATGAGTTCTTGCATCACACTTAAGTTCATCATTTGCTACTTGAGGGAGAAAGAGAAAAATACTCTTTATTTAAATTCTCATATTTTCTTCTGTCTCTCTTCCCGTCTCCTCCTTTTTCTTCACTTTCTCTGTCATTCTCCTCATAGAATGCAAATGGATGAAAAATCACATTTAGATCATCTTTCCATAAGAGATACCATAGCATATAATACCAGCATAGTTCAGAGTGAGCTCCTACTCCTGTGATTCTGGTACCTTTCAGGGCGGAATTTCTCAGGCTCTGGCCAGTACTGTGGGTCATAGTGAAGAGCAAAAACTGGTACCATCACTATGGAGCCTTTGGGAACAAACACACCATCCATTTCCACATCTTGTTTACAGACTCTCTCAAGTCTACTACCAATTGGGTACAATCTGAGGGTTTCATTCAGCACCATGTCCAGGTACTCCATCTCCATCACCTTATCATAGCTGGGACGTGCCTGGGAAGAAAGGAAAAGATTTGTGCTGAAAATTTACATTAACTTTCAATAGGTCTGCATCGTTCTCAGTAGTATTGAGTTCTCCATAGCTATAAAGCTGCGCTCAGCATTGCAATGGTCCAAGGCACTTATGAGGCATTTTAAAGGGTTTTAAAATTGTTTTATTTTATGTGTGGAGGTGTTTTGCCTACATAAGTATATGTCCACCACATGAGGGCAGTGAGCACAGAAGTCCAAAGAGGGTGTCAGATTTCTTGTAACTGGCATTACTGTCAGCTGAGAGTTGCCATTTAAATGGATCCTCCAACAGAGCATCCCTTACAAAGTGTTTACAATAACTATCACTTGGGGATGGGAAGATATCTCAATTACTGAAGTGTCTACTATGCAAACCTGAGGGACCTGAGTTCAGATACACACCATTCATAAAGCCAGACACAGTGGCACACATCTGTGAGGGTAGGAAGACAGAGAAAGGGCATTGGTCAGATAGCATAGCCAAATTGATAAGCTCAAGGTTCATGGAGAACGCCTGTCTAAAAACATGGTGGAGAGTGATTTAGAATAATCCCGTGTTAGGCCTAAGACCTATATACAAGCATACAAACTTGTGCCTGCACACAGGCACTCACATTCTCTCTCTCTCTCTCTCTCTCTCTCTCTCTCTCTCTCTCTCTCTCTCTCTCTCTCTCTCACACACACACACACACACACACACACACACACACACACCACGCTGTGGGTGATGAGAAGGTGTCTCCTTCTCACTCCTGTTCCAAGCATCATTCAGTCACCTTATTGGGCAGAGCAATATCGATCTCCTCCTGCAGTTTCTTCTGTACATCAGGGTGAGTGGCCAGTAAATACAGGGCGAAGGAAAGTGTGCTGCTGGTGGTGTCGTAGCCAGCAAAAATAAAGATAATTGACTGGGCTATGATCTCCATGTCAGAGAGAGCTGAAAGTAAGAAAATATTTCAGGAAAGTCAGAATGGACCATCACAGAAGAGATGAGGAGAAAATGAAATGAGGCTCCTGTTTCCCTAGAGATAAACATGGAAGCAGTTCAGTGACTATGGGACTGTTCTCACTCTGACATCCATGTGACACATCCAGAGAAGGGGAAGACTGCTTCAGTCAGGATGTCCCATGGTTTATGCTCTGATCCTCATCATCATCAGTGGGGAACTTCAAGACATGGAATTCATTCTGTTTCTAAGATTTATTTCTATTTTTTATTTATGAGTATTTGTGTCTGTCTGGTGGGTTGTTGTTGTTGTGTGTGTGTGTGTGTGTGTGTGTGTGTGTGTGTGTGTGTGTGTGTGTGTGCAGGCATGGTGCCCATGGAGTCCAGAAGGAGGTATATAATCCCCTATAAATGGAGTTTTAGAAGGTTGTGAACTTTCAGAAGTAGGTGCTTGGAACTGAACTCCAGTCCTCTGCTAGATCTTAAGATATTTAATTTTATTTATTTATGTGTGTATGCACATGTATACAAGTGCCCATAGAGGGTAGAAGATGACACTTGGAGCCTATGGAGCTAGAGCTACAGGCAGTTGTTACCCTTTTGCCACGAGTGCTATGACTTTGTATTTGGAAAATTCTTTCTCCCAATTAGTGTAAGTTCTTGCTACTAAATTGAAACTTAAGTGTAAACCCAAAATCAGTGGGTATTTTTAAATTAATAGCTATCTTAGCTATCAAAAATGAAATATAAGGAGAACTAGCTGGGATTCATGAAGCACTGGGTTCAATCCCCAGCTCTGTATAAACTAGGCATGGTAGCATAGAAGTTAAAAGGCAATCCTCAGGCACATCATGAATGTGAGATCAGCCTGGACTACAGGAGACCCAGTCTCAAAAGGAGGAGTATAGACCAATTTGAAGTTAGCTGATCACATGAAAGTGTTTCAAATGGACAAACTGGAGACATTTTGAAGTACAAAATACACGAAACTAGAAGATCATATATATGCAATTATATGTACTAGAAATAAGCAAATACGAAAGAATGCAAGACTCCATTTATATTAGCTACTGATACACACAGGTAGAATAAAGTCTGGAACTCAGATGTCATCATTTTGCAAACACAGCAGTAATAATGATTTTAAATTAAAACAACCATAGATAGGAGACTACAGGGATGGCTCAGTTGGTAAAAGCACTTGCTACACAAGCATGAGGACCTGAGTTTGAATCCTCAGTTCCCATGTAAAAAGTCAAATGTGGCAGCACTCCCCTGTAGCCCCAACTCTGTGAATCACTGGAACTGGCTGTCTGTCACCCTAGCTCCAGGTTGCATAAGACACCCTGTCTTGAGGAAATCGGGCAGAGAGTGATCAAGGAAGACACTTGGTTCCTTCCTCTGACATCCACACACACATAGGGGTATACACATGTGCACACACTCATGCACACACCTGAAAAGGATAAAAATCTATATGTAATTTTTAAGTGTGTATAAGAATTAAGAGAATGTGTTTGTACAAAGAGGCATTCACCAGATGCCACTTATTCAACACACAAAGAAAAGCAAATTTTTACCATAGAGAACACATGTCCACCAGGGGTTCCCACAAAGCATCACTACTGTGTGGGCGCATGTGTCCTGCCTCGATGAGGGATATCTAGGCAGAGTTCCTAGTCAGTGTGCTGGGAAAGACAGAAACAGCCCAGACCTAGATAACACACAGAGACCACTGATGTCTTTCATCATGGCTACCCTTCATGTTTGGAACAAACTTGTGCCCAAGTGCTTCTAGAAAATTCCATGTAGATAATAACCATGTCCTTCATTCAGCAACCCAACAGAGATATTCTGCTAGAAAACCTTCCCAAAGATTTTCTGAGCAACCCGACTACTCCTCAAGAGCTTCCTTGTCCATAGGGCAGGGAGTCCTTGGTTACCTTTGTGGGAGTCTTTGGAATTGTCATGAGAGTTCATCATCAGCTGAAGGAAATCCACTCGGTGCTGGAAGCAGGAAGAGAAGTTGCAAAAATAGAAGGTCAATGGTGAATCAGGGGTGCAGAAGCTTAATGTCGTTTCTGAGAATGTAGCTCCCTTAAATTCAAAGACATGCCTAGTGTTGCTTGAGTCATCAAAGAACAAAAGCAACAGTGGCTAAACCAGGAAGCAATCCAGCTACCATATCAGCTACTTTTAATATAAATTACAATAGAGATAATTTTAAACTATAACTTTGATTTACTGAAAATGTTTTTGAAAGAGATTAAAATAGTATTTCCCTCCATTTTAATCATTTTTATCTACTCTTAGAGAATTTCATACATGTTTATAATGAGATATGGTCATATCCACCCCACTATTTTCTCCATTTGATTCCTTCTATATCCCTTGTAATATTTCTTTCTCCTAGCCTCATGACCTCTTCTTTATAAATAACCCACTGAGTCCAACTGGTGCTGCCCATATATGCCTGGTTGTGGGGCCATCCACTAGTGTACAAGAAACCTACTGGCGGCCATACCTCCCCGCTTTGCAGCCATAAACTACCAATAGTTTCTCAGCAAGGGGTGGGACTTAGAGAGGTCCTCTCTCACCTATGCTGGAGATTTGGCTGTCTTGATCTTGCATAGGCCTTGATCCTTGCCATTTTTTGTTTCAATCCTTATGCAGGGCATTCTAGTTTTCATTCATATTGCTAAGAGTTAATTCCTGGATTATTATCAATCAATTTTTCAAAACTCCATCATCTCTTCTCCCAGAAAAAACAAATGTTCTCTCTCTCCCTCTCTGTCTGTCTGTCTGTCTCTCCCTCTCTCTTCCTCTCTCTCCCTCTCTCTCTCTTCCTCTCTCTCTCTCTCTCTCTTTTTCTCTGAATCTAGCCTTTTCTATCTATCTTTAGTGACAGATGAAGGGAGCACACTGCTCTCATGTTCACAGTCCAGCATGTTATCAAAGCCTGAACGTCTCATGAGACTACTACTTTTTACCTTTTGGTTATAATCCAGGCGATTTTCCTTCGTTTTGTCCACAAATTTTCTGAAAAAACTTATGGAATCCTTTGGGAACATGGAGACATTTAACTTCTCATATATTGGGATGAGGAACGGAAAGAGTACTGGAAAGGATATATTAAAAAATAAGCTTTAGTGGAAAGGCAAGTTTCTTTTAGAGAACTCATGAAGCAATCTAAAGAATAAGACACCAGTGTATCATCCAGAAGCCATTCTTTCTGCGACCTTGTTCACACTGGGCTACCATCATAACGCCCCTTCTGCACTTTGGAGTAGACAAAGGAGCAAATCTGACTCTTGGATTTATCTCTGCTCCTGAGTCTTTGTAGATCCAGAAAGTACAGATAGGGGCCTTTGACATGGTTCAACAACTAAAGGTCCCTGAAGACGAGGCTAACAACCTGAGTTTGACACCTGCATCCCACTCTGTGGAAGGAGAGAACCAACTACTTTAAGTTGTCCTCTGATCTCCACATGCCACACAAACATGAATGGATAACAGCCAGGCAGAAGAGAATAAGCAGGACTTCCAGGGAAAGAGAAGCAGTCTGAGAAGTGAGGCAGAGAGATGCCAGGGAGACCCCAAATAACTCTGACACATGGTACAGAGGAGAGGTAACCAATCCACGTGACAGAATATAGATTAAAGGAAACATGTTAATTTAAGTTGTAAAAGCTACTTGGGAAAAAGCCTATGCTAAGGCCAAGATTTCATAATAAATAATAAATAATAACTATTTGTGAGCTGGCAGCCCAAAGAAAACTTTGATCACATACACACACACACACACACACACACACACACACCACACATAAATAAACAAATAATTCTATTAGCTAATAAATAAGTAATAAAGGAAGAACAGTCAAGATAGCATTTGTTTCTCAACTGGCATGATGTAAAACAAAACTAGCAACAGAAAGGACATGAGGAAAGTCAGAGGTATGTGCAAATTAATCAATACATTAACCAATGGGTAAAAGAAATCTAGGAGGTGATTAAAAATTCTTTTTGATATAGTTTCATAGTACAGTACTTGCCTAGCATGCATGAGATCTTGGGATCTCCTCCACAGAGCAAGGAAGTAGAAATGTCTTGAGAAAGTAAGAAATGAAGATACACAAAGATAGTGCAGAAAGAAAGGCAATGAGGCTTACAGCCTTCATTTTTTTAATCTCAAATAATCAAACTTTACCTTAAAGATACAATTTTAAAACAACTAACAACTAATGGAGAGGTGACTCATTGATAAAACACTTGCCATACAAGCACCTTTTTTGGTACCCAGCATCCTTTTAAAGCCAGGTTCAAAGACAGGAGACCCAAACTCAAAAGGAAAGAAAAATCAAACAATCTCCCTCACTTCCAGAGTCTAGCCTCTAATGAATAAATGTAAATATGTGAACACATATAAGTGTGGATATGGAATTATTCTTCTTTATTATTAAATTTTTTTATTTTTAAGTTTAAATTTAGATTAGAAACACGGTTGGTTCACAAGTCAGTTCCAGGTCCCTCTCCCTTTCCCTTCCCTCCTCCCATGCCCTCCCCCCAACTCCCCCATTATCCCCTCATTTCCCCAGGGAGGGTGAGGCCCTCCATGGGGGTGTCCATAGACTGTCATTTCATCCAGGGCAGGGCCTAGACCCTCCCCTGGAATGATTCTTAAAAGGAGACCAGGAGAGGATGATATTAGGTGTTGAAGAAGCATGGATGTAGGCAAAAGGATAATGAACTGTGTATAGAAAAGATTTGACAGAGAAACTATTAAAACCCTAAATGATGCACCACTGCTAGTTGTACCCAGCACGTACACAAAAAATTACTACAGGGGCTGGAGAGATGGTTCAGCAGTTAGCACTGACTGCTCTACAGAAGACCCAGATTTGACCAGCACCCACATGGCTGCTCTCAACTATCAGGCACTTCATGCATGTGATATATATACATGAAGTAAAACACAAATACACATAACATAAAAATAAATTAATCTTTTAAAAATGTTAAAGTAATTCTTCCATGCAAAAGATATGATCTAAAAGCAGACATTAGCACATCAACTTTGTTTTTCAATTGCATAGGACTAGGGAATGCTAATAATAACCACAGGTCCAGCCTGCAGGGTATCCACTAAGCAGAAATGATCAAAGTCATGGGACAGCCAAGTGGAGAATGGAGGACCTGGAACTCTCCTGCATTTCCAGAAGACACAGAAAATGCTGCAGCCACTGTGGAAAATGTATACTCCACTGTGATATGTTTAAAAGGGGTTACTTTGTGACTCAAGAACTATCCTGAATCTGTATCTCCAAAATATAAAAACAAACACTCAAACATAACCTTATATGCAAATGCTCACAGCAGCAAAATTCAGGTAAACATGCAATACTAACTTCAGTGTCTATCAACGGATATGGAGTATTACTCATTAATAGACATGGGAGACAGTGACACTTGCTTCATGTAATATTGTGCTAAATGATGAAGGCCTGTCGCAGAGATGACAAAGTCTATGATCACATTGATACAACATACCCAGAATGTGTAAATACACAGAAAATGAATTGGTGGTTGCTTAGGTCAGGGCAGCTTGAAGGATGATGGTGCAAATGTTCAGTATGGCTAGATAAAGTACTCCGCAGGTGTCATTGGTAACGTGCCATGTAGACCATCAGTCAATGCAGACGACTGAGTGATTCAAGTGCTGAGAATAAGTGACTGTTGAGTGCTGAGCCCTACGTGAAGCATCTATATCAACAACCCCACCACCACCACAAGGCTCAAGGAACATCATGTGAGAGACTGTGGGAATAAAGTAAGAGCGGAGGAGGCGTGATATGAAAGGCAATACCCTGGACATGGCGTATCCACTCATGAACTTATCACTAGCAGGCAGCACTGACTGGACTCACTGGATGACCAAAAAAGGTAAGGGACATAACTTAGGAGAAAGATGTGTTGAGGTGTCTGATAGAAGTGATAGTTGAGTGTTACTGGTGGGTATAACCAAGATAGATTGTATACCTATATGATATTGTGAAAGGATAAATAAAAGAATTCTAAAACAAAGCCAGGAGTGGTGGCTTAGACTTTTAATCCTAGCACTCAGGAGACAGAGATAGGGGATCACTGTGAGTTCAAGGCCAGCCTGATCTACACAGCAAATTTTAGGCCAGCAATAGCAACACATTGAGATCCTGTCTAAAAGAAAATTTAAGTTCAAAAACAAAATTCAGGGGACACGTATCTTTGAATACACTAAAAATATTGGACTGTTCCTTTAAGGGGGTAAATTATGTGCCAACAGACCTATTACTTTTGGTAAATATGGAAGACAAAGGTAGAACTGACAAACATGATCACAGACAAGATCAGTGGGTCAAAAGCCAGAAGAACCATCAAACATACCTACGGACAAGAACAATGGATCAAAAAAATCAAATCTTAACAGCTTCCTGGCCTTTTCCACAAAAGGGTCCTTTGGGTTGTTGAGAGAATCGACGCTCACACCAAATGCCGTGCTTGTGATCACATCCATGCTGTAGGCCCCAAACACTCTGAGCAGAGGGAGACATGGAAATTTAACACATGTAGCAAGAAGCCTGGAATAATTCATATTCTTGGGCAAGACAGGGACAACCACCTCAGCACTGACCAAGCTCCTTCCTCTCCTACCAACCCTCTACCTTTGTGACCTTGGCACTATCATGTTTGTTTCTACTGTGTATTTTGCCATCTGGTGTCTAAAGGGGAAGAAGGAGCAGCTGGTCCATGGGAGACACACAGATGGATGACCCTTCTGCCCCGTTGCCCCTCCTCTCCCAGAACCGCAGGGGATGCACCGCTACTTACTCTTTCGTGGTGACAGGGTTGCCTTTCTCTGCCTCTCTTCTCAAGAATTTCACCAAAATATCTCCGTACTGTTCAATGATGGGGAACATCTAAGCACAAAGCACAAAGGCATCCATAGTTAGGTGTGGAGACTCAAGCCACACAAGCATTTCAACATAAAGTATTTGAGTCACCTCTTTGAGTTTTCCACTGGTGAAGGTGGGAGACAGCAAGGCTCGAATCCTCTTCCACTCCTCATCCTTAGATATAGAGACGGCTTTACTCATTATCCCCACTGGGCCAAAATCCTATAGTCCAAAAAAATACAATTATTGCTCCCTGTAAGTCCAGAACTTTCCATGGTTGCAACAGTGCTAGTTGCACTGTTGTGTAACAATTAGTTCCTGACTTTTTACTATGGATCAAGTCTCATGTTAGATACAAAAAAGTCAGAATTTCCTCATAGCCTATAATAAACCAGGTGCTCACTGGGTTGCCTGTTGAGCTTTCAAGCTTTTATATTCCAGGATCCTTCTAAATGTAAATCTCTCTATGGTTGGAAAATTAGTTCTAAGGGTGGGGGTGAAGATGGGAAGAAGACTTAGTAGATTCTCCAGAGCTATGCAGATAATGAATGGCTTGAGAACAGATAGAAAGTTCACTTTGCATCAGACAAGTTCTCCAGTTCTGTATTTACAATATAAGTGATGTGAAAAGGATGTCTTGATATGGTGTGTGTGTGTGTGTGTGTGTGAGAGAGAGAGAGAGAGAGAGAGAGAGAGAGAGAGAGAGAGAGAGAGAGTTGTGTGTGAGAGAGCGTCTGTCTGTAGACTATAATGCTGGTGTGAAAGCTCATGTCTTCTCATTTGGACACCAGAGGTCTGGCATCTTCCTCTATAACTCTCTACTGCATATTTTGAGGCAGAGCCTCTCATTGAATGTAGAAGGCTCTGGTTTTGCTAGCGAAGCTAGTCATCAATCCCCTAGGATCTACCTATTTCCAAACACAGCTGTGAAGTAACACATGCCTGCTGCTACGCCCAGCTTTTACGTGGATTCTAGGGATCCAAACTCAGGTCCTTTACCCACTGAGCCATCTCCCCAGCCCTGAGACACTTAAAGATTTGATGTTTGGGTCTTTTTTCAGTTTATTTTAGTATTTCATGTACGATGTATGTATGTGCATAAAAGCATGCATATGAGCATGCAGTGCATTCAGAGACCAAGGGAGGGAGTTGGATCTCCTAAAGCAGGAGGTACAGGGAATCATGAGCCACTGGATGTGGATGCAGGCAACAAACCTCCCATCCTCTTTCAAAGCTTTCAGCCACTAGGCCATCTCTCTGGCCCCTGGTTTCTTTGGTTTGGGGGTTGTTTGTTTCGGAATTATTCTGTAGAAATCATTATTCCTTAATTCTTTATGCAGTGATAAAAGGGAAAATATAATTCTATTTCCCTAGTAGGAACTTCCTTCTATATTCCACACTTATAATCTATGCTAATTGGAGTCTTCCAACTGCCCTTATAGTAAAGCAATTAGCACAACAAGAAGAAATGGAAATGGCTTCCACTTGAAGGGCAGCTGCAAACAAGACCTTCAGCCAACTTCACCAAATGACCAAAGGCTGAATGAGGGCCAGAGAGATGGCTCAGTAGGTAAGGGTGCTTGCTGCTAAGCCCAACAACCTGGGTTCAATTCCAGGACACATAAGGTAGAGGAGAGAACCAATAGGTTTTCCAGATAGAACAGTGGGATCACCATGTTTCACACACACACACACACACACACACACACACACACACACACACACACACAAAGATAGGGAACATTGAATTAAGTATCCTACGTTAAACAATAATAAATATAAGTAAAGCCATAGATTTAAGAGCTAATCTAAAAGGATATAATTTGTACAGAAGCAAATCCACACAGAAGGGCCAGGTAAACAGTCATCAGACTTGACCCTGACTGCACAATTTATTGGGAAGGAAAATGGATACAAAAGGAGAGAAGGAGACAGGCCCTGCATGGTAGCTAATGGGCTAGGAAGAGGGAATTGCATGGTCAAGGAGCCACTCTGTAGTCTCAGAGTTTGTCACCACACAAATCTAGACCTGTGAGAAACTGTACTGCACCACACAGACATAAAAAAGGACCCATGACACAGGAAATGTAAGCACAATCTAGATGAGAAAGTGTCCATCTACAACTAGATTACAATAATATAGTATGTATATTCTAAATACCTAGACTCTGCTTGTATATTATTATGGAAGCCACTATGAATATATATTTATTTCATTTTTTAATTAAAGAAGTAGCCAGGCAGTGGTGTTGCACACCTTTATGCCAGTATTCAGGAAGCAGAGGAAGGCAGTTATCTGTGAGTTTGAGACCAGCCTGGTCTATAAAGTGAATTCTAGGGCAGCCAAGGCTACATGAGAAACCCTGCCTTGAAAAAGAAAAAGGGGGAGCTAACTACCCAGTCTTGCTAGGCAGCACTGGCAGACGCCCTTAATCCTAGCACTTGGCAAGCAGAGGCAGGTAAAGGCAGGTAGATCACTGAGTTGGGGCCATCCAGGTCTACAGAGAGGGTTTCAAAAGAGTTAGGGCTACATAGAGAAAACCTGTCTCTAAAACTCAAAACAAACAAACAAAAAATTTCAATAAGCAAAATAAAAAGTTTGCATTATGAAAAAGGGGAGGCTTGGTGGACGGTCACAGCTAAGGGTGCTGCTCCTCTGCTGGAGGACTCAAGTTCAGTTCCCAGCACCCATGTCAGTCCCTCCAACTGCTGGCAACACCAGCTTCGGGGGATCTCACTCCCTGTTTTGGCCTCCACAGGAGCCTACACACATATGGCATTCACTCATATAGACACACACATATATACACATAAGTAAAAATAACAAAAATGAATCTTCAAATGTTTTCAGATTAAAAAAAGTTACCTACCCGTCGGTTTGTGAAGATAGAATAGCATTCCTTCACGAGTACGTTCTTGATCATCTCTGTGTCCGTGACAGTAAACAGGGGTCTTTGACCTTCAAACAACCTGTGTGGGGAAACAGCTGATCAACGTGGGCCAGGCTCTGAAGTGGTAGCCCAAATTCAGACTTTGATCCTCATGTTACGTGACCCTACTTTAATTATACAGTATGTTGTCACAGGAGATCAGTCTAGATCTGTATCATAGCACATGTCCCTCTTACGGGAAGGGAAAACCACCCTTAGCTTGAATTAAAACATAAACAACAAAATCTCTACATTTGCAAAGATAAGTATCTTTTACCAAGTCCTTAGTTATGTTCCCCTGTCCCTGCTTCCAAAGGACATGTTAAAGTCAACACTGAGGTGAGAGAGCATGAGGTGGAGGGCTTCTAAGGGGAAATAAGTGAACGTGGCACAGAGAAGGCATCACAAGTGTGTGCAATCCAGGCTGCCCTTGAACTCATGATGCTCCTGCCTCCGCATCCCTCAGTAAACCCTATCAACATGTGCCACACACTTGTTAGAGCAGATTAGGGGGATGTGAAACAGTGCCTTTCGTGGAGTGAAAAGGAAGTTTCAAGAAGAGAAACATTGAGATGAGACCACCGAATAAAACGAAAGGCCCTGCTAGGCATGGTGGTCCATGTCTTCAGTCCCAGTACTCAGAGGCAGAGGCAGGCAGAGCTCTGTGACTTTGAAGCCAACTTGGTCTACAGAGCGACTTTCAGGACAGCCAGGACTGTTACACAGAGAAAAACCCTGTCTCAAAAACATAATAAAATAAAAAATAAGAAACACGCAATTGGCCCAGAGTCCATAGAGCATTTTTTTTTGGTTTTACGAGACAGGGTTTCTCTGTATTGTTTTGGAGGCCGGTCTAGCCTGGCCTCGAACTCACAGAGATTCGCCTGCCTCTGCCTCTCGAGTGCTGGGATTAAAGGTGTGCGCCATCACCGCCCGGCTCCATAGAGCATTTCAAAGCCTGTTGAAAGCCTCAGTATGCAATGTTCTCCAGATAAGTAGGCCTGTGAACCATGGCACCAATGACACCTGTCATCACCGTTACGACAGAGAGGTGCATTACTACAATTCTGGGCAGGCATTGTCCTTCCACAAGTGGATCATATCCTCCTAAAAAGTCAACTCCATGGAATTCTCCAGAATACTCACCCCCATATTTTTCCATACTTTTTATGGCACTCGATATCAAATGTCCATATACCCTACAAAGAGAAATAGCATAGAATCAATTATTGTCCTGTATGTACCAGCCCTTTTGTAGCCAGGGAACCAAACCCTCAATCCCATGAATTGAGGGCTACTGTTTCTGACAGAGAAAAGTTCTCCAGTAACTTTAGTGGCACCAGCATGATGACTCAGTGGGTAAAGGCAGAGTGTTCGAGGAGGACATGTGACACCTTCCTGTGACCTCTGCATGCACAGTCATAGACATACACACGCGCACAGCACCAGATACACGCACCACACACACAAGGATAATGGTGATAAATTATTTTAAAGAGTGTGTGAGACAAGCACAGAATCTTTAAGAAGAAAACCACCTTCCTGTGGCCTCTTAAGCACAAGCTTTGCCACTCGCTCTCAAGATGTGAGCTTGGGAATGTCTCTTGTGGACTGACCCCGGGCCGTGGGTCAAAGCAGGTTTGTCACAAATGATCCATAAATGTGGCATATCACATGCTTATTCCTGAAGTTTCTAAAAATTTTGTTAAGTCATCCTTTCCCTAGTGGTTTTGCCTTTATCAAATCTTGAACAGGAACTACAAAACACATTGTGTAGTCAAGTGTCCTAGGTGACTGACAGCTGTCATCCTGTCTCAGTTATTCACATTTGCTGCTCAGATTCATGCCCAGGATGCTGTCTTTAAAGGAAGAGAAGCAAGTGTAGGTACATTTCAGCAGTAGAGAACTTGCCCTGGCATGTAGAGGGCCCTGGATTTCATTCTCAGCCCCACAAAAACAAAACAGAAGTAAAACCTGGTATTAGGGCTGGAGATGTGATCCACCAGTTAAGAGCACTGGCTGATCTTGCCAAGGGTCCAAGCTCTGTCCCCAGCCCCCACATGCAACATCTCACAACCATCTGTAACTCTGGCTTCAGGGAATCCAATGCCCTCTTCTGGCCTCTGAAGGAACTACACTTGTAATAGTATGCACACATATATGAATAAAAATCTTCTTCCTAAAAGAATCAGTCCTTAACCAGGACCTCCATTCTGAAAGGAAGAGAATGAAGCAAAATACTCTAGTTCTCAAGAACCCAGGCATGCCATGAATGGTGAATGATGGGGATACAGTCATGGGAATAACTTTAGGGGTTTAATAATCATTTAGAGAACCTAAGTACATGAAAAGTCCCCCAAATGTGTGTGTGTAGGTCTGTGGTAAGCTAATGCTTCAAAAATATTCAGTAAGAAGAAAAAATGTTGCTCATGAACCCAGATACAAGGAGGAGAATTTTAATCTAGTGCATACAGGTTGATGTCCTTGCAGCTGGAAACCACTCCAAGATTTTCTTCAAATGAGTATAGAAGTACCATGTCAGAATCTGCACTGGTTAAGAAACAAAATTCTTTTTGCTCATAAAGGTTGAGCATCATGTCCTCAATATGAAGATTAAATGGGCTGGAGATCACCATGTTTCACCTCAGGCAAACTTGAGGCTTAGTAAACTGACATCAGGGCCAGTGAGATGGCTTCAAATGAGATGGCACTTGTCACCAAGCCTGATAACCTGAGATTCATCCCTAGGACTCATGTGGTAGAAAGAGAAAACTGACTCCCACAAGTTGTCCTTTGACCTGCACGTGTATGCTGTGTTACATACACACAGTCACCCCAAAATAATAAATATGGGGGAATGTTGGCAATGGGAGCTGTGGTAATGGTTCTGTGGGAAAAGCACACCCTAAAAACTAGTTTGGATCTACAGTATCTGTGCAAATGCCAGGCTGGGGTAAAACCCTTAGTAGTCCCCACTTGGAGGAGGCAGAGTCAAGGGTCCCTGGAACAAGCTGGCCAGATGAACAATTGAGAGACCCTGCCTCAAAGTATAAAGTGAAGAGCAATCAAGAAGACACCCAGTATCCACCACTGGCCTCTCTATGCACACACACATCCATATGCATATGCACACATACAGTGACTCACACATGCAAATACATGTATACACACTATAAACACACATACACATGAACATTTGATAGTTTTAAGTGGGCAATAGAGCCCCCAAGGAACCACTGGACATTCTCTAGCATCATGAGAACACACTGCATGGAGACCTGAAGTCTCAGAGTTTCCTCCCAGGGAACATTTAATAGAACTAAACCATTATTGACCATCAGGGAAGCTCTATGGGTAGTTCGATCAAAACTCACCTTGTAGTAATTCAATACATTTCCTAAAAACGGCAGAGGTTTGGGCCCAGGAATTCCCTGTTTCTTAAAAATGTCATATTTATGCGTCCCAAGTCTATAAAGTGAAACAGAAAACCTTGTAACCACACATACAGAAGACGGGAAATAAACATGAACAAAACCGAAAAATAAAGTAAATCAACATGTAATAACAATATGTAATTTTAAAATGCTTTTACAAGAGTTAACTTCAACTTCCGCTATCACTTCCAAACTTTTATTCTAATGCCTGTGGAGGGCATCAGACCCCCCTGGAACTGTAGATACAGAGTCACATATGGGTGGTGGGATTCTAACCCGGGTCCAGTAGAAGAGCAGTCAGTGCTCTTAACCACTGATCCACCTCTATCCCCTGCTTCTGATATCACTTTTGACCTTCCAGACAATTCCAGAATGTAGGTCTCAGTATAATCCCAATCCAATGACACAGTGGGGAGGGACTTTGGTGGTTCCTCACCGGTATAGGAGCACCAGACTGATGGCCAGGAGGACCCAGGTTTCCAGTGAGAGAACTGAAGTCAGGTCCATCGTTGCTTCTCTGTCAGCAATGTACCCCTCTGTGTTCTCTCTCCAGCTGTGAGTGCCACCCTTTGCAGGGCTTTCCTTCTTGTCAGCGGTGCTGGAGTGTGCCCAGCCTGCACATTTATAATCTGGGAAGATGGGTGGGTTCAGGGATCCAGCCATCTGGACTTTGATATCCTCTTGACTTTGGCAGATCATAAAGTTCATACACAGACTATTTTGATCTCCTGTGAGTTAACATTCTGTGAAGAATCGGTAAACAGTGTGCCCATTTCAGGAACACCAAACATTCTTCCTTTTAATCAAAACTTCAAGCAAACTCACTGACATGAAATGTCCTCTCATCAAGGTTGCCTCCATTCAAAAATACATGAAATGAAGCCCAAATAGGGCCATCTGCATGCAGATCATTACAGAATGTCTTTGTTCCTCCCTGGAAGATAGTTTGTCATTTTTGACAACTCAACTCAGCAAAAACAATAGCAGTCTGTTAGAGTCTTCCTCACCTGTGCCCATAACAAATAAAGTCACTTCTCCCAAGGTATGACTCCCACACATTCACCATCTCCTTCTAGACCTCCACTGAGGGTCTCCTGTATGTTCCCCTTATTAGATTCGGAGACTATTATGGGCAGTAAGCACCACTGTGTTTGAGTTGGGCAAGTTGGCTGGGTCTAGCACGCTGCAATAGATGAGTCACTCCACACAGTTCAATGAGGTCATGTTTTATAGAGGGGGGAGCTGATACTCAAGGAACTGACAGCTCTGGGTCACAACAAGAGACTGTATAGAATGCTAATATGAACTGGGGATGGGCAAATCCCTCTGAGAAGTTGCTTGTAAATGTTAGGGGAGGTTTTTTGAAGTGATGAAAATGTTCTAAAAAGAATCACCGACTGAGTAGGTTCTATAGAACCACATTTAAAATGATTGAAAATCACACTGTAAATGGGTAAATCGTGCAGTGTGTGAATTATGCATACCAAGAAAGCCGATGTGTTGTGTAAAGTCTTTATTTTTATCTGAGACTACTGATGTTTGTTTGATTGTACGTTTGAGAGAAAAGAGAGTCTAGGAGGAGTGATAAGAATCAGATGGTAGAGTGACAGCTTAGCAGTCACAAAACCTAGGCTCCATCCTCAGCACCAATTAATTGGTAGTGCACCTCTGTAATCCCAGAACTCAGGGAGCAGAGGCAGGGGGGTCAGAAGTTCAGAGAGAAAGTTCAAAGCTACATAGAGAGTTTGAGGTCAGCCTTGGCTACATGAGACCCTGTCTTGGGGAAAAAGAAAATACAACAAAACCAAATTCCTCTACTCCTTCTATCCACCAAAATTCAACACTTGCCACTCCATGATAGTGGTCATCATGAAAAAGGGGACAGACCTTATTACATACTGATGAACTATTGGCACCTAAGAGATTCTGGGAAGTGGGAGGCATTGTATTCAGCTGTGTGCCCAGTGGTGACTGGTGAGCCCACAGGCTCTAATGAAGAGTTCTAAGCCCATAGTCACACAGATGGCACTATTAAAGTCTGCAGGGAAGGAGTGAGGCTGACAAGGGTAGGAGGGAAATAAGAGAGAAGGGGGGAAATTAGCCAGAATGCATTACATATATGTTTATATTCGTCAGACAACAAAATGTATTATTTAAAATAAGTACAGTATGGTACTCTGGGTTGGGGGTATGGCACAGTTGAGAGACTACTTTCCTAGTATGCACAAAGCCCTAGACTGAATCATCAACACCACATAACAGGGCCTGGTATTGGTTCTAATGCCTGCACTCCAGAGGTAGAGACTGGAAGACCAGAAGTTCAAGGGCATTCTTGGCTACATAGCAAGTCTGAGGCTAACCTGGGCTACAGTGTGAGATCCTGTATTTTTTTTAAAAAGTACATGGGTCTTCAATAAGGAAATCATTTGATAAGAAACTCCAGGTGTTTGGGAACATTCCTTTAGTATACAGTATTGCATCTGCATGTTTTCTGCATATACAATTCCATCTTATGGAAGTAAACAGCAGAAATGCTGTCTGGGAATGTATTTCAGTGGTAGAGCACATAAACAGAATGCATGGTACCTTATATTCCATCCCTTTCAGCAGGAGGAAATCCCAAAACCATCTGCAATGTAATACTTTGATGTGGGTGAGATGGCTGACTGGTAAAGGTGCTTACTGTCCAAACCTGATGACCTGAGTTTGACCCCTGGGACCTACATGGTAGATGGAAAGAATCAACTCTTACAGGATGTCTTCTGGCCTCCACATGCATGCCATACACAGTCACACACAACAAAGTAGTCATCAACCTTATCATCAGGGAGGGGCTATTAATGTAGTCTCTCCACTATTGCTTTGTTTGCCAGTTGGTGTTATCCTTGTAGATCTCTGGAGATCTCACTAGTGTCAGCTCTCTCCATCTATTATGGTATCTCTCATCCTGCTCTACTCTATTCTTACCTCAACTCAATCAACCTTCCTGCTCCCCCATGACTTCATCTCCCCTCCTCTTATCCCCATCTCTTTTTCCTGGTTCCCTCTCCCCTCCCCCAATGTTCCCAATCTGCTCACGAGATCTTGCCTCATTCCACTTCTCTGGGGTATCATGCATGTCTCTTGGGGACCTCCCTGTCTCCCAGACTCACTGGCACTGAGATATAGGCTGACACTCCCAAGATCCATGTCTAAAATCCATATATGAATGAGTACATACCATGTTTGTCTTTTTGTTTCTTCTAGTGCCATCCATTTGCCTGCGAATTTCAAGATTCCATTGTTTTTTTTCCACTGAGTAGTACTCCATTGTGTAAATGTACCACATTTTCCTTATCCATTCTTCAGTTGAGGGGCATCTAGATTGCTTCCAGTATCTAGCTATTACATATAATGCTGCTATGAACATAGTGGAACACCTTGTTGTGTGAATGGGCATCTTTCGGGTATATGCCTAAGAGTGGAATTGCTGGGTCTTGTGGTAGACTGATTTCCATGAGGAATGTCCATACTGATTTCCAAAGTGGCTGTACGAGTTGGCACTCCCATCAACAGTGAAGGAGTGTTCCCTCTTTTCCACATCCTCTCCAGCATAAACCGTCATTGGTGTTTGTGATTTCACTCAGGGCAGGGTCCAGTCACTCCCCTAAGAGTCCAGGCTGAGAGAGTATCTCTCTTTGTGTTATGGACACCCAAAGTCCATTTGTATGCCAGGGATATACACTGATCTACTGCCCAGGGCCCCATAGGTTGCCCAAGCCTCCTCACTGACTCTCACACACAGGGGGTCTGGATCAGTCCCATGCTGGCCTCCAGCTGTCAGTCTGGGGTCCAAGAGTTCCGCCTTGTTCAGATCAGCTGTGTCTTCTGGTTTCGCCAGCCCATTCTTTGCCAATTTGCTCATCGCTCCTCTCTCTCTCTCTGTCACTGGGTTCCATGGGTTCAGTTCAGTGTTTAACTATGGGTGTTACCTCTGCTTCCACCAGTCACTGGATAAAGGTTCTAGGGTGGCATATAGGGTAGACATCAAGTTCATTATCAGGAATGGGCATTTAAGATGGTCTCTCCAGTATTGCTTAGCTTGCCAGTTGGTATCATCCCTTTAGACCACTAGAGGTCTCACTGGTGCCAAATCTCTCTTCTAGCCTATGACTCCCTTTATTATATTTCTCATCCTGTTCTCCCCCTATCCTATCCCCCACTCAACCTTCCTGTTCCCCCATGACCTACTCTCTCTTCCTCTTCTCCCCCTCTCTTCTTCCCAGCTCCCATTCCCCCCACACCTCTCGCCATGTTCCCAATCTGTTCAGAAGATCTTGCCTTGTTCTTAATTTCAATAATTTTCATATCAACATGAGGCAAAGACTGTAAAAAGTATTCTTCCACAAAGTCAGCTCCAAAGAGCAAGGCATGAAACAGTATGACATTAAACAGAATGAAACACCACTGGTGAGTTCGAAGTCTGCAGAACGTCACCTGCATGTTGTCCATGAGCAATCTCGGAGCATTGGGAATGATTAAGTTCATATGTCAAGTTCTGCACAATAGAATGTTGGGATAAATGCAGCCCAATAGCAATTGCAGGAAGGTACCTTAGGCCTCAAACTTTAAGGATAAGGTTTCTTGCCAATAACTCTGAGCTTCTGTCCCAGAGTACCTGCTGCCTGCATAAGATAGGACATGCTTATCATGTTTCGATGAGTGAGAATCAGAGAAAAGGGTCCTGACCTCTTACCCCTACATGCAGCTACATCGTGGCTGAGATGGATTTTATTTTAAAGTCTAATTTGTTAGATACTAGGATTGCTACCCCTGCTTATTTCTTGGGTCCATTTGATTGGAAAATCTTTTCCCAACCCTTAACTCTGAAATAACATCTGTCTTTGAGGCTGAGGTGTGTTTCTTGTATGCAGCAGAAGGATGGATTCTGTCTTCAAATCCATTCTGTTAGCCTGAGTCTTTTTATGGGCGAGTTAAGACCATTAATATTGAGGGAAAGTAATGACCACTGATTGCTCATTTTTGTTTGTTTTGGCATGGTTGTTGTTGGTGGAATTGTATGTGGATTTCCACCACTTTTCCTTTTGCCTGTTGGTAAAGTGGGATTATCTATTGCCTATTTTTCTAGTTGTAGTTAACTTCCTTGGGTTGGAGTTTGCCTTCCAGAATTTTCTGTAGGGCTGGGTTAGTGGATATGTATTGTTTAAAACTGTTTTTGCCATGAAATAACTTGTTTTCTCCATCTATACTGATTGAAAGATTTACTGGGTAGTCTTGGCTGGCATCCATGGTCTGTTAATGTTGGAAGAATATCTATCCAGGGCCTTCTGGCTTTCAGAGTTTCCATGGAGAAGTCAGGTGTAATTCTGATAGGTTTGCCTTTATATGTTACTTGGCCTTTTTCCCTAGCTGCTCTTAATATTATTTCTTTATTCTGTATGTTTGGGGTCTTGTGGAGGAGATATTTTGGGGGGGCCCACTCTATTTGGTGTTCTGTAAGCTTCTTGCACATTCATTGGTATATCTTTCTTTAGGTTGGGAAAGTTTTCTTCTATGATTTTGTTG